TGTACTGACCAGACGGGGCCAGAGAGTGAGCAAGATAACATCACCAGATCCAGCTAAATCCCAAATATCATCTGGGATGTAAGACTTTGTCCCCCACAGATCCCTCCAATTATGTCTCTCTCCTTTTCCCTTACGTCCACCTTAGCTGACCAAGACTGCGTATTCTGCACACTGCTGTGTGATCAGAGAGGCAGCTAAATGCAATGCACTAAAAACTCCAATGCTGGTACAAGTATGCCAGGTCTCAGGCCATGTCTATCTTACCACTGATAGACTTTGCTACGATCGATGCAATTGGGGTTGATTTAGTGCAGAGGTGGTCAAACTACATCAGGGCTTTGGATCTGGCCCATGGAACTGCCACCCCCATGGCGCCACAGGCCCCACACCGCTCCCAGAAGCGGCCAGCACCACGTCCCTGTGGCTCCTGGGGGGACAGCACACTGCCCTCTCCTGCAGGCACTGCCTCCCACAGCTCCCATTGCCCGGGAACCGCAGCCAATGCGAGCTTCGTGGGAGGAACCCGCAGGCAAGGACAGCGCGCGGAGCCCTCTGCCTCTCCCTCCCCCAGGGGCCTTGGGGACATGGTGCCGGCCACTTCCGGGAACGGTGCGGGGCCAGGGCAGGCAGGGAGCCTGTCTTAGTGCCACTACACGTCGCAGCCACCCCTGAGCCACTCAAGGTAAGCCCACACCCTCCTGCACCCCAACCCCCTGCCCTGAGCCCCTTGCCGCACCCCACACCCCTCCTGCACCCCAACCCCCTGCCCTGAGCCCCCAACCCCTGCCCTGAGCCCCTTCTCACACTCCGCAACCTCCCTGCACCCCGCACCCCCTCCTACACCCCAACCCCCTGCCAAGCCCGCTCGTACAGCCAGCGCCCCTCCTGAGCCCCAACCCCTTGTCCTGAGCCACACCGCATCACCTCCCACACCCCCTCCCGTATCCCAACCCCCTGCCCCAGCCCTACATTCATGGCCCTGCATGCAATTTCCCCACCCAGATGTGGCCTTTGGGCCAAAAAGTTTGCCCACCCCTGATTTAGTGGGTCTAGTGAAAACCGATGTTTCCTCTAAGCCATGCAGCTGCCTATTAAGCCCTCCGCGGAGGCTCAGGGCTGTGGCGGGAAGAGATGCTTGTCCCCCAGCGCGGACTTGCCGCGTCGGGGGAGAGGCGCCCCTCCCCGCCGGCCCCAGTGCGGACCTGCCGAGCCCGAGGGAGAGGCGCCCCTCCCCACTGGCCCCAGCGTGAACCTGCCATGGCTGGGGGAGAGGAGCCCCTCCGCACCGGCCCCAGCATGGACCTGCCCTGGACTTGCCGTGGCCAGGGAAGAGGAACCCCTCCCTCGGCCGGGCCCAGGCCTACTGGAGCTGCCACAGCCAGAGAGAGGCGCGTTTCCCCCTGCCCCGAGCTGCTGTGGCAAGAGAGGGCTGAGGAGAATCCTTTCTCCCACTGCAGCCCTGGGGCAGCCCGCACCCAAACCCCTCATTCCCAGCCCCACCCCAGAACCCACACCCCCAGCCAGAGCCCTCACCCCAACCCTCTGCCCCAGCCCTGAGCCCCCTCCCACACTCTGAACGCCTCAGCACCACCCCCACCACATTAATTCATTCCGCACATGGATGTAAAAAATTAGAGGGAACACTGAAGACCCACTAAAGCGACTGCAGAGCACTCTCTGGTCAACTGCGGTACTCCACTGGAACAAGAGGAGTAATGTAAGTAGACAGGAGAGTGTCTCCCATCAATATAGCGCAGTGTAGACACCGAATTAAGTTGACCTAAGCTACACAGACTCCAGCTATATTATTCACGTAGCTGGAGTAGCGTAACTTAAATCAACTTACCCTGGTAGCGTAGACAAGGCCTCAGAGTGGCTGACAAGACAGTGTGCTGTGCCTGTGTTTTTCCAGCAGTGAGGATACAAGTGAGACCTTTAGGCTAGTGTCTGCATCCTAGCTATGGAAAGAAAAAGCCACTTTTATCTACAATAAAGAACCTAGAAATCCTCCCAAGACTTGAGCATACAGTTTCTGGCATTACAAATCATCTTCCTCCACTCATTAGAAACGTTGACATTTGCTGGATTTTCATTCATGAGAGTTGTCTGTATCTATTTAAAAGGAACATAAATTTAAAAAAGGAATCAGACTTCTGTCTGATTGATTTTTACCTACTATTGTTACATGTAAAATGTAATATTAATAATTGAAAATTAGAGAAAAAAAACTTCAATTTTTGCCATTTGTTTACTTTTTGTATTTTATAGCACTTTGGTTGAAATTTTGGACCCCCTGAAATCAATGGAAATTTTGCCATTGACTTACATGGGATCAGGATTTCACCGTCTGTTATTAGTCAGTTTCAATCGACCTGGTATAGTCAATTAGCTAAATTTAGAGACTAACAAATTTATCTGAGCATAAGCTTTCCTAAGCTACAGCTCACTTCATCGGATGCATTCAGTGGAAAATACAGCGGGGAGATTTATATACACAGAGAACATGAAACAATGGGTGTTACCATACACACTGTAACGAGAGCGATCAGGTAAGGTGAGCTATTACCAGCAAGACAGCAGAGGGGACGGGATGGACCTTTTGTAGTGATAATCAAGGTGGGCCATTTCCAGCAGTTGACAAGAACATCTGAGGAACAGCAGGTGGGTGGGGGTGGGGGGAAAATAACCATGGGAAAATAGCTTTACTTTGTGTAATGACCCATCCACTCCCAGTCTTTATTCAAGCCTAAGTTAATTATATTGTGTAGATCCCTGATGATGCGTTGGAGAGGTTTTAGTTGGGGGCTGAAGGTGATGGCTAGTGGCGTTCTGTTATTTTCTTTGTTGAGCCTGTCCCGTAGAAGGTAACTTCTGGGTACTCGTCTGGCTCTGTCAATCTGTTTCTTCACTTCAGCAGGTGGGTATCGTAGTTGTAAGAACGCTTGATAGAGATCTTGTAGGTGTTTGTCTCTGTCTGAGGGGTTGGAGCAAATGCGGTTGTATCATAGAGCTTGGCTGTAGACAATGAACATCATCAAGGATCTACAACCAATTCTGAAGGACGACCCATCACTCTCACAGATCTTGGGACACAGACCAGTCCTTGCTTACAGACAGCCCCCCATCCTGAAGCAAATATTCACCAGCAACCACACACCACACAACAGAACCACTAACCCAGGAACCTATCCTTGCAACAAAGCCCGTTGCCAACTGTGTCCACATATCTATTCAGGGGACACCATCACAGGGCCTAATCACATCAGCCACACTATCAGAGGCTCGTTCACCTGCACATCTGCCAATGTGGTATATGCCATCATGTGCCAGCAATGCCCCTCTGCCACGTACACTGGCCAAACTGGACAGTCTCTACGTAAAAGAATAATAGCTCACCTTACCTGATCACTCTTGTTACAGTGTGTATGGTAACACCCATTGTTTCTTGTTCTCTGTGTATATAAATCTCCCCACTGTACTTTCCACTGAATGCATCCGATGAAGTGAGCTGTAGCTCACGAAAGCTTATGCTCAAATAAACTGGTTAGTCTCTAAGGTGCCACAAGTACTCCTTTTCTTTTTAGGGATACAGACTAACACGGCTGCTACTCTGAAACTTAAGTAAACTTGTTTCCCATTTTGTTTGTGGTTCTTTCACACAAGTCTTTCAACCAAATACTGTACCTGATTCTTACTCACTTAACTAGTCATACTAGACCAGGGGTCGGCAACCTTTCAGAAGTGGCGTGCTGAGTCTTCATTTATTCACTCTAATTTAAGGTTTCGCGTTCCAGTAATACATTTTAACATTTTTAGAAGGTCTCTTTCTATAAGTCTTTAATAAATAACTAAACTATTGTTTATGTAAAGTAAATAAGGTTTTTAAAATGTTTAAGAAGCTTCATTTAAAATTAAATTAAAATGCAGAGCCCCCGGACCAGTGCCCAGGACCCCGGGCAATGTGAGTGCCACTGAAAATCAGCTCGCATGCTGCCTTTGGCACACATGCCATAGGTTGCCTACCCCTACACTAGACAGAAGTCCCATGGCAGCGCTTTAACGTTGGTAGTGAAGACATACCCTCACAGAAAGGGAAGTAAGCTATACCAGTATAAATGAACCCACATTAGGAGTTGTACTAGTATAATGATATTTTTTAAAAGAAGTATCACAGCCCAAAATGACAGTCATACCAGTACAAATCTGTGTAAAGATTGGGCCACAAACAAACAGCTTAACCAAAATTTGTAAAATGCTTGCTTTGTTATGAGTGGATGCAAGGTATACATACAGATATTATACATTGAAAGCATTCCAACACCTTTGTAGACAAGTAAGGATAAGGCTATGAAAGTCAATCCATCAGCGGGTTTAGCCACCAAATTTACGTTTGGAATTTTAAAACAAGGTTTTACAAGCCTAATGTTAACACAAGGGGGGGGTGAGTTTTTTAAATAGATACATTTAAAATGCAAAGTGGCTGTGAACATTCAACAGCTTTCACCACCCAGATGTCATGCCCGAGCACGAGAAACAGAAAGGAAAGAGAGGAAGAGAGGTGATCGAGGCTAACGCAGTTTCATTTCCCAAGCAGAGCAGAAGAAACGAGGAGCCAGCCTCCAGGCACAGCTGAGCGGGGCAGTTGGGTCAGGCTTCGCTAACGGCACGGCTATCAGCACGGCAGAAAGCGCCGCTGGCTAGTGCGGGGCACAGCCCTAGGGGAAGGTCTCTTTAAACAGGGAGTGACAGCACGGCCCGGAGCCAGGGCTGCCCAGCGCTATGGAGACCCGGGGGCGGAGATCCAGTGGGTCTGGCAGCCAGTCACGGCCCGGACACCAGCCCTACGGCGGACGGAGCCCCGGAGCCCGACCCCAAGGCGTCCCGACTCCGGGGCTCCACCTCGCCCCCAAACGGCCAGGAACCGAGGTGGCCGCAAGGCAGGGCAGGGCCCGGCTGAGGACAGGCCGCTGCCAGCCGCTCTCCCCCTGCAGGCTCCTCACCTGAGAGTCGCCGTCGCCACCGCCTCCGCCTCCGCCTCCCACCCCGGGGGCAGCTCCCAACGCATCCTGTGGGGGCTGGGGGGCCCCTTAGAGTTAGCGGCGGCCCCTCACTTTGCTCCTTCCCGGACGGCTGCGTCCCACCCTGCGCCCGGCCCGGGCTCACAGTCACTTCAAGGGAGCTCGCCGGCCGCCATTACCGGCCAACGACTGACACGGAGCGGCGGCGGCAGCGGCGCGGGGCAGGGCGGGAACAGCCGGCCACGCCTCGCGAGAACGGCCTACTCTCCGACCTTCCACACATGGCGGCGCCGCTAAGACTTCCTGCCCCAAACTATACTTCGGCCATATTGGGTGTGGCACAGCATCCTGCGTCAGCTGGGCTGTAATACTCAGGGTACAGGCATTTCAACTTTAGATCTGACAGAAGGCGGGCTAGCCTTTAGAGAGGCAACAGCTGAGCAGTGAAGGAGAGGAAAGATTCCCCCCAAATCGTGCTCCAAGAGTGGCAATGGTTTGAATAGAACCTCAGCCCCGGGCACCAAATATTTCTCCTGCCCTTTGTAAGGGATGTAGGGACGGTTAGCACCCCTACAGCTAAGGCTGAGACATAGAGTTTAGGAGCTGGAGGACATCTATTGCAACTACTAGGTTGGTGCATAGAGGGCAGAGCTGGTGTGGTGTGTATCTTAACTCTGGAATGGCTGGCTTTCAGGGAGTTAAGTTTAGATGTATTCAGTGTTTTGGAAGGAGACAAGGCAGCACCTACCAAACTTTACGCTCTGTTAAGGAAGTTTTGGGGCAAGGACTCCAAAAGTAGCTCAGGCTCCTAACTTCCATTAAAATCAACGAATAGGGCCTTACCAAATTCACAATCCATTTTGGTCAATTTCACAATCATAGGATTTTAAAATCTGAAATGTCATGGTATTGTAACTATAGGGGTCCTGATGCAAACAGGGGTTATGTGATTAGGGTGGGGGGGCATCACCATATTGCCACCCTTACTTCTGGGGTAATGCTGGGGGGATGCTGCCTTCAGAGCTGGGAAGCTGGCCAGCAGCTACTACTCTCCAGCCACCCAGCTCTGAAGGTAGTACAGAATTAAGGGTGGCAATACTGTAACTCCCTACAATAACCTTGCAAACCCCCCTCCCCCACAACCCACTTTGAGAAACACTGGTCTCCCACATGCAATCATGGTCTTTTGTGTACTTTTACGCTGTACTATACAGATTGAACAGAGGAGACCCAATTTCACCATCCATGATGTGTTTTTCAAGATTGTGAATTTGGCAGGGGCCTAGCCATGAATCTGGGCTACAGCACCACTTAAATGCAGCCAGCACTGTTGTATAAGGGCAGCAGCTCACCCCCCAGCACAACTCAAATGGGACGATTGCAACCAGCACCTCTACTCTTACCCAAATCTTAATGGGGTCTTTGAGTAGTAGAGGGCTAGTCAGTTTTTCAAATAAGAACATTCTCTTAGATTTATTACCCTAAACCTTTTTTCCCCCCACCATGATTTACTCTTTTTTTAAAAAAAAAAAATGAAACAATATTTAGGATTACACCCCAGGGTTTTGTTTCCTCCTTTTTCCTCTTCTCTTTTCAGTGCAAAAAATCAAACTACGGAAGAAACCAGGAAAATCAAAAAATGAAAATTTTCACAAACTAGAGTTAAAATATTTTCCATTTCAAAAGCAATGTGCAATTTTTTTGAATGAGTGAAAAGTTGTTTTTTCGAACCCCACAGAACAGAAATTACTTCAAAATTTAGTTTATCATTTTTCTCCACCACTTTTTGACCAGCTCTAGTTTTTACATAAATGGCTATCAGAGTGAAAGAACAATTTGCTTTGTAAAGGCCCATCTAAATGTTATACAGACAGAAACCTGCCTGAAACCTCATTCATCTATTTCTGATACCTGAATAAATGGTGGCAGGGTTAATAAACCTGGGGGTCCAGAAAGTCTACATGAGCCAAATATTTGAACCTACCTCCTTACTTCAGAACAGAGATCATTTTTCCAACTTCATCTACTAATAAAATCATTCTTATAAGAACCCCTTTAAAAAAAAAAAAAGGCTAATTTAAGTGACTGTCTCACTGAGACCCAGAACATAAGGTTTAGGTAAATAACAGGAGAAAATTTATAAAAAGTATGAGTACAGATGTTTACACCATTTTTATTTTAATTTCAATTAAAAATTTTTAAAAGAAATTTAAAGTTAATGCTAAGTGAAAAAGAAGTAGGAAACAATCCGCTTAAATGAATACAATGAAAACTGTAGTTAAGTTCTTTCACTTTTAATAAAGTTTCTTTATAAATGCAGGGAAGGGGAAATGTTTAGGGTATCATTTTTATAATACCTCTAATACTTCCGTACCTTGCATGATTTTTCTCCCCCTCTTCATAGAGGATTTTAAAAGCAGGCATGTGATGTCATGCAGCTATAGAAATGTAGGGCTGGAAGGGACCTCAAGGGGTCATCTAGTTCAGCCCCCTGTACTGAGACAACACAGGTAAAGTATTACAGGAACAGTCACTTTCTTCTAAGACTGAAGAAGGAATGTCATTAGAAAAGGAAAAACAGCATTATTCCTAAAGAGCCAATTGTGTACATGCATGCACGTAGGCACATACCTGCTTCACTTAAGGACTTCTACCTACAACTTTATCCACTCCCATCATGCTACTTAAAGAAACAAATGTCTGTCTCCTAATCTGAAAAATGAGACCTCATTTCAAATTCATTCTTGATCAACACAGAGCAGAAAACTCAAGAGTTTTATTTTCAGTTTTAAAAAGTTAATAGTATACTATTCAGCATAATCTCATGTGCAACTCCAATTGGTATTTTTATTGCTTGACACATCGGGACCAAGGTGCATGAGTCCAAAGTTTTTTGCTTTGTTAAGCTTTCTTGATTCTCAGAATAAATTATAGTTGTCATGCAGATGCTAATATTTTCAGGTTGTTTTTTTGTTTTGGTTTTTTTAGTTCACCAGAATATTTTAACATGGGCAAAACATTTTTCCCTAGCCTCACTCTGAGATGCAAATTAACCATTTGGCTGAAATTTTCCATGGTTGTCTGTAGTGGGCTGAATTTGTTTGGAAAATTTCAGCCCAAACAGCTGATGTTTGGCAAAGTTACAAGCAACTGGAATCCAGGGTCTTATAAGATGATGTGTTGGGCAACTTTAATAGACAGTGACACAAGCCCCACCTCTAATACAACATGCAAAAAGCCCCCCACATTATGTTAAAAGAACATTAAGGTTGCAAAGCCAAGCATGCAGTACTTCGGAAGTGTCAGAATTAAAGGCTGCCTATTCAACATTAATGCTGTTCCCTCCTGCATACATAGTATGATAGTCTTTAATTACATGATTGTGTACTGTATTTTCCATGTTTCAGAGTAACAGTTGTGTAATCTGTATTCGCAAAAAGAAAAAGGAGTACGTGTGGCACCTTAGAGACTAACCAATTTATTTGAGCACAAGCTTTCGTGAGCTACAGCTCACTTCATCGGATGCATACTGTGGAAAGTACAGAAGATCTTTTTATACACACAAACTATGAAAAAATGGGTGTTTACCACTACAAAAGGTTTTCTCTCCCCCCATACACATTGTAAGGAGAGAGTGATCACTTTAGATAAGCTATTACCAGCAGGAGAGTGGGGTGGGGGGGGAGAGAAAACTTTTTGTAGTGGTAAACACCCATTTTTTTCATGGTTTGTGTATATAAAAAGATCTTCTGTACTTTCCACAGTATGCATCCGATGAAGTGAGCTGTAGCTCATGAAAGCTTATGCTCAAATAAATCGGTTAGTCTCTAAGGTGCCACAAGTACTCCTTTTCTTTTTGTGTATTTTCCATTCAGTGCATAGGATGGGCCTCAGGGTGTATGAAATGTTCAACACCAACTGACATCTCTATCTTAAAATTTAAAAAATTTTAAAATGATAAGTATCAGTTTTGCCAGAGGAGAAAAAAAAGCCCTGCCAACAAAGACAAAACAGACATCTCTAGTGGGGAAAAGGAGCATGATCAGTGATTAATTCCCTCCTGACTCCTGAGAGGACCAGGACCTCTTAACTCTTATTATATCCCATATAGTCACCTAGTGTTTGCTTAAATCTATTGCTTACTAGTACTTGACTGGCAGATCTCTTCACCTAGTCATCACTTTCAGTAACATATTACCTCAAATTGTTTTTGAACATAGCGTCTTTTTATTTATTAGCAATTAATTTAGTTCCTCACTCTTCCCTCCCATTCTCCAGACAAGTAGAATGCATTAGAATTTACACTGAATATGAAAATCACTAAGTTAGCTTCTTTATTTTCAGTCAATTATATAAAATTAACAAACAAGATCCCCTCCGCCTCGACTTTGCTTCCACATTATTCCCACATTCTCAAAATGTCAGGACTTTTCTACATAACAATGGAATTCAGTTATAACTCTTGCACAAAATCTTAAATCAAATGATCAAAGAATGTGCTGCTTCCAGAGTCAGCTTTCATGTAAAAAAAATAATAATTTGAGACAGCATAACACCTCATGAGAAATTAAGGAAATTTAAATTCTCTTGTGAAAACTAAGCTCTTTTCAATTAAATTTGCTAAAATTAGCATTTTAAAGACAAAGTAAATCCTTTACCTGGAAACAGCCATGGCTGACAGAGAAAGGAAGAAACAAGTGCACTCAGTTCCAATATGGCTTTGATGAACTGGTAAAGAACTGGGCAGCGTTATTGAATATATTGCAGCAGTGCAGCCCAAGCGCTTGAAAGCGGTGGACGGGAGAGGAGGACTAAACATAAAGCAGCACCATCTCATTTTACACTGTGCTGACTTTTGCAGCTTTTAACACCCAGGCTGTGGAAAGTTTTCCACTCCATAGTACCCTTGCACATCCCTTCTAAAAATAGAGAGAGGCAGCTGGCTATTGTGCCTGAAAGAAGACCCAGTAGCTTCCCCCCTTCTCTCTTTGACTGACATGCTTCCTTAAAGCCATCCAGGAATTTTGGAAAGGGTTATCTCCACCTGTTGAACATGGACTGGGGTTGTGCAGGCATTCGGTTATAAATCCAGCTGCCAAAACCCAACACTAAAAACAGGGCACAAGGCAACTGTGAAATGGTGCAGAACTAGTTACAGGAAAATACATACAATGTTTATATTAGAATCTTAAAAGATGAACTAGAAAATTTATATAAAGAAAATGAAAGTTTCCTGTGTATGATCTGGGCTCATAAAACAAAGTAGTAACAGCTGTACTGTAGGGTATTCAGATGTTAGCTCCCCATTTGTATTATATATTGCACACACTGATCACCATACAAAATAGAGCTTCCCAGTCATCTACATACTTTGGTACAAAATTTGATTATGTTTGTGTGCGCACGCATACGTGTATCAGTTTGTGGCACCAAGAGCAGGCTCTCTTTTCTGTAATACACTGCCAATTAACTATGTCCCAGATGGTGTACAACAACAACATATAAAAAGCAGTGTATTTACTAATTATAACATTTACCTATATATCTCAACATGTATGCACATCTGCACTTGTGTACCAAATTGAGATTCTACCCAGTACCTGCTTGTCAACACACAGAAAGTTACAAAGTAAGGATTCCATATTCCCAGATATACACATTTTTATTTGTAGGAAAAAAAATGTGGAAAAAAAGTCAGCCTTTTACACTAACCTGCCAAAATTCTTCTTTGCCCATTGTAGCAGCAGAGAACATCACTGACAACTCAGAGCAGAATGTGAAAGACAAAACGTATTGATTGGTTGTGCATTGTTTTAAGTGCTTGTGATGTCATAAACCGCTGAAGGGGAGAGCTGTATTCTCAAACTCAGGGCTCACAGGTGGGACAAGCAGGAACTGCTGCAGAGCCCCCTGCTGGGAGGACAGGGCCTCCACTGCAAGGAGGATCAGGATGGCAGGATCCATCACTGTCACCATATAGTTCCAGTCATCTTCCCAGAGTGAGAGGAATGGTTTGAACTGTCCCTACTGAGGAAAGGAACTCAGACAAGGTCCCAGGTCAAGAAGTTCAGGGATGAGTAACTGGAAGTGGTAGCTAACCAGACTGGATGAAATGGTGGAGAGAGCAACAAACAGGGAGATGGGTTGGAGTCTCTAGTTGGATGCGCTATCCTGAACAATTTACTATGTACAGCCAGTATTACATGCATTTCACCTTTAGGCACCATTCACTGACTTGCCCATGCTTCTTGTTCTCATAATGTTACAATTTTCCTTTCCTAGTATTTTTATCTGTAATACTGCACTTTAGACATGGAAAACCATCAATCTTCAGTTCTATCGTTGGGTATGTGTTCAGTCTATGTTTGAGTTTGCAGCTTCTTACTGTGTGTACTGTACTCTTTGGTGTGGGGGGTTTCGTCACTATTAAACACAAATCAATTGCCCTGATTATTTGTCTGTAACATATGTAACTATGTTCTCTCTAAGTGTACTCTAGACTACAGTTCCTCTCTTTCAGAGTTTTTGCCCTGATAACTGACTCGTATTCCTCCTAACTGACTCCACTGGACCCTGGCTGCTAATAGCCACAGTATTTATACAAAAAGAAAAGGAGTACTTGTGGCACCTTAGAGACTAACAAATTTATTTGAGCATAAGCTTTCGTGAGCTACAGCTCACTTCATCCACTGAATGCATCCGATGAAGTGAGCTGTAGCTCACGAAAGCTTATGCTCAAATAAATTGGTTAGTCTCTAAGGTGCCACAAGTCCTCCTTTTCTTTTTGTGAATACAGACTAACACGGCTGCTATTCTGTAACCAGTATTTATACAGCACTTTATGCTTCTTTAATTGGTTCAGCTCTCCTTCATTTGCACTTACAAATACTAAAGATGTCTCAACCTCCACCCAGCATCTCCAACCAAAGCTTAAAAAACACACTACTCCAGCATATGCCTGCAGAACACAAAGTAGCACTTTATCTTCTATCAGCCACAAGGTGAATTACAAACTTTTCCTTGCTCTAGCTGCTGCAAGCACACTAACTCATTTCCATGGGTTGGGTTTACTGGTCTGTGACAGCTAGATCCAACTCAGCTTCACCCTCCAGTGAGGCAGTTGCTCTAGAAGCCAAAATGCTGTGGAGTGGTTGGAAAAGACTTTCAGTGGCAGGAGTGACATTGTAATGGAAAGGGAAGCCTGAAGAGGACGATGGCCAGCAGCCACCATGTGAAGGATGTATACAGCCCTCACTTCACTGGACTGATGAGGTGGTATATAAACAGTCAAATGTGGGCCAGGTTTTTTATTTTCTCTTTTACATTTATTTCCCCACCCTGAGATAAGTGCCGCAATCTACATCTGGAACTATATTCCATTTTACATACATGTAACATGATGCTGCTTTATGCCAGCTAGCCAAAGAATATCTGATATTCCATTACATCTTCAGTGAGTAAAAAAAAAAAAAAGGGGGGGGCATGTACTAAACAAGTTCTCATTTTACCCTTTCAGAGACAGAAAAAAATTGCTCTTCTAAACACTCAGCCCTTCAGAATCAGCTCCCTTCTGAGGGAACTGGGTGGCTCAAGTAATTATTGGTAGAGGAACATGGAGCTTTTCATCTCCAAGTCACAAACTGAAGCCTGCTCTGTACTGGTTGTGACCATGGGATTATTCCAACAGCTGTTCAGTGGCCTGTGAGGACTAGCATTCCTGGTCCAACAGTCTCATTAGTCTCCTAGATGCAGTCTCACAGAGGACAAGGGTGGTCATGGAGACTACACTAGCTAAGGGGGTTTTCTCCAGTCCATGGTTGGGGCACCTTGGAACAGTGTAGAGAAACCTGAACTTCTGAGGTCTGTGCTGTAACTGTTCTGTGATACAACAGAGAACCTCCACCTCCAGGGCTGTCACTGATACTTCACAAGCATCAAACGTACATAAAGTAAGAAGAAAAAAGTATAATTGCTTGGTGGAGTGAAGTTTAATGAATTAATGCTTGTAAAGCATGTTGATATCCTCCAGTGACATGCCCTATAAATGCCAGGCATTATTCTGTTTTCTAGCTCTTGGGCCTCCGTGGAAATGCTGAGACAGGTAAGAAGAAATCACTTGTGAATTACTTCCATCATACCAATTACTAAAAAGACTGGAAACTGAAGTGTAGTCTGCAAGGTGGCAGAGTAGACACTGCATCATTCTTCCCCCAATATTGAAAAAAAAAAAACAACTGCAATTATAGATGCCTTCTCAATTAAAAGCAGGTAACAACTTCTTGTTTTCAGCCTGAATGCAAACTGTCTGGGTGAGGTGAAAAGGACAGCTGACAAGGTTAAAAATCTCAGACAAATGTGTTTACAACTCAGAATAAGTATGTCCTATTCAGAGAGTCCCTAGTAAGAAATGCAAGAACACCAGTTAAGAGGAAGTTCTCAGCTACATTCCCAATCTACATGAATGTGATGCAGCTTTCTCTCAGCTAGCCAAAGATTATTTTCATGAATTTTATGTAACAGCTCAGATGGTAGGAGGGGGGTGTCTCTGTAGATAAGGACTTACGTATAATTCAAGGAACTTGGCCAAAGTTGTCAAGTTTAGGTGCCCAAAATTAGGCACCTAAGTCTACATTCAAGTACCTAAATCAAAGTGGACTGATTTTCAGAGGTAACTACATTTGAAAATGCTGGCCTGTAAAAAAAAAGTTGACCACAACTTAAAATTCTATCAGCAGTCTTAGAACAGGTTATAAAACAAATAGGTAAATTTATTTCTAATGGTTACTAAAATAGTTTCTTTAAATTATTTACAAATCATCATTGGTCATTTCCAACTAATATAGTAAGTAACATACAATTTTAAAAAACCACTTGTCCAATGAAGTGTTTATAACATTTAAAACTTTTCTTCATGAGCTGTTCTTACACACACAAAATGGCAACACTTCCATGTCTCTCTGCTGTATAAATACCTCTACACAAAACAAATTAGTCATCAGTTTCCAGCTCTCAAAGAAGGGCCAAATCCACCACTAGCGTAAGTGGTCACAGCTCCACGTCTATGGAGTTCTCTTGCACCAGTCATTAATCCAGCCCATTTCACATCGCAAACCAGAGTCTTTTCTGGTAGTCTCAGCATGGGGACTTAGCTGCCCTTTCACCCCCTACAGATAAGTCCTTTTTAAGGACTTTTATAGCAAGACAAAGGGAAGTTTGAGTAATGGATGTATTAGAATGCCATCAATCTGGCAGCTATTGTAAGAAAATGTATCTTAAATTTGAGCAGTGTCTCCTTCAAATCCAAGAAAGCTGAATGGATCTGGAACAAGAGACACCCAAGATGAGATACTAGGCAGCAGAGAGGCATGAAAGAATGACAATTCTTCTGTGGGAATAGAAATACATACATGATTTTTAATCGGTGGTAAATTTTAGGGATTTTTGGCATGAGGCACTCAAAATATGGTCAATGCATGCATATCAAGTCTGTTTTTCTTAAAATTTACATAGGAAGCAGCAGGTTTTATGCAGACAAATGGGGAGTCATTTGGGACAAGGCTTACAACAGTAATAAACAAATCCTCTCGATGTAAAAATACTCTTTTCAAATAAAACCTTTGGATCTAGCCAAAATAATCTGTTCAGAATGTACACATCTTAGGCCTTTGAGAAGGGTTTGATGAGGCCTTTTTAGCACACACTGGAACAGCATTTAACATTTCCTCCTTGAGATTTGTAAGTCTTAAAACTTGATGCAGAACAAAGGATTCCTGGGTGCTCTGGGGAGCAGATGCACTAAGGGGTTATTTTGTTAACTGATGTGTTAATGCCCAGAGCAATCACTTGCACCTCATTCATCCCAGCCTCCAAAACTGGAGGGAGGGGAGGAAGGCTCATCTAAACAGAACAAAAACAGCTTTGAGAAGTCTCTCCTGAACCAGATCATCATCATCATCATCATCTATTCAATTCAGCCAGTCTAGGAAACATGAAGAGACAACTTATACCCAAGGCCATGGTCAGCTGGAGAAAGAAAGCCGATGGTTGGAATGCATGTAGCCCCACCTCCAATTAATAAAATTAAGCCTCCGAGAATAGAGGGGAACGTTATTCTGGTAGATTGGAAGTAGGCAGAGGAGACTGTGGAATCTGCTAGATCCCATTATCTTGCCATACCCAATGGCAGTACTACTTACTGCTGGAAAAAGTTTCAGCAGAGAGATGCTTGTCTACTGCACACAAGAACAGCTTTGCATACAGAGGGATGGCTCTACAATGGGGCAGGACATTTTTACCTACAGAGCACTAGGCCCAATAAGTTACTGAGGAAAGCGCAACCTAAGAGCTGTGCTCCATATGTACGCTCTCCAGTTGTCTAGAGAGAACTCCAGTTCCTTTAAATGCAATCACCCTCCCCGTCCTTGCTCTGCAGAGAGAACACCGTGTGCTGCCTCTGCTCAGCAGTTAAGTTCTGCACTGCCCGGGCACCACAACACTGGTTTCCTATCCTTCCAGGTCTCAGATTTAAGTCATCTGTAAGCAGCCCTCCTTAGGGAGAGCATTTTCAGGCCAAACAGGCAGGACCAGGTGGGATATGCGGCTCCACAGTCCACTCAGCTTATCTGTGTCCATGTGATTATAGGAGCTGGGAGTGTCTGAACTGGTGAATTTGGCCCAGAGAAAATCCCGCACTCTCTCCTCAACATCCAGCAGACTGAGGTTCTTTTCCAGCGACTCTTCATCCAGAAGGACAGTTAGCAGAAGAGTTACATCCTTAAATGCTGCATTTTCATGGTCACAGTACTTGTAGAAGATCAAAGTGGAGCCTGCAGGCAGAGACTCAAATCGATGCACCACAGCTGCTTTTTTACCTTCCTTGAACCCAGAGCTTAGCTCATGATCTACTTCCAGCTTGACATCGTTGCTATCCAGCATGGCTTTTGCAGCCCCATCAATCTTGATTGTGGCAGCACTCAGGGAGGAGGAATAAGCTTCAGCAATCTGGTTACTTAAGCACTTCAGAGATTTTTCAGCTTCTTGAGCAGCTGTGAGCAGTAAGATGGCAGGCTGTGAGTGAGGATGGGTGGTATTGAGTCGTTTTATAAGGAACATTTGGATTCTCTCCCACAGTCTTGGATCCTGATTTGGATAGACATTCTTAAGTTTCTTTATCTGGGTCGCAAATGCTTGCACAACTTTGATTTCTTCCCTCGGCAAAGTCTTGGAGGATTGATTCTTCCAAACATGCCATATAACAGTAATGGAAGCTACTGCTAATACCAAAATGCACATCCTAAAACATCCTGTACTGGACTGTCCAACAGGCTCTGCACAAAAGAGAATGTTAAAAATAAGCAAATGCTTTCATCATTCAATGGGGAATCAATTAGTATGGATGAGTGAATAGTGACATTTCAAAAGACCCATTTTCCTATCCCATAAACAACTGAACACCACAAGGTAATGGAGACACCCTGGAGTGAGAAAGAAGGACTTAACTTCCTTAGAGGAAAAACTGCAGGATAATGCAAGACATCGGGTACATTTTTCAAAAGCACCTAAACAACTTAAACACACAAGGCACAGTTTGAAAATGGGACTTAAGCATTTTTGAAAATTTTGCTCACTCATATTCTAACCATAATTTAGTCTTCGATTAGATATAATTAAAAAACACATTAAAACATATCTTAAAGAGGCAGGTCAAACCTGGCCCAACATTTAAGTTTTGTAAGAATAATCTTCTACAAAATCTGAAGGCAACAGAAAGGAAAAAAGTAAAGCCACAGAAACCAATCTCAATGGAATTTTTAGACAAAATGAACATTCTTCATCACTGTTTGTAACTCAAACATTACTGCATTGTGCTAGTGCTGGGGTTCTCACACTAGGAGTCACAAAGTTATTATGTGGGGGTTGTGAGTACATGCCTCCCAGCTAGCTACCAAGTCTGCTGTGAAAATTGATATTAAACATACAAATATCACTTTAGAATGGTGTTAATATTAAAAAAAATGTTTTTAATTTTGTAAGGGGGGGTGTCACACTCAGAAGCTTTCACGCTCTGAGAAAGGGATCACCAATACAAAAAGTCACTGCGCTAGTGCATAAGAACCCAGAAGTTAAATGGCCTCATCTGTTCATTCAGAGAACAAGAAGTAAACGCAGGGGATGACGAGGACACAGGAAACTGCATCTTACCATTGAAATGCATGCAATCAGACATTTGAAGATGGGTTACAAGTTTGTTTTTTAAATGTTGTTAATTTAACAAAGTGACTGAACTATTAACCAGGGTTATTGTCAACATGAAAAAAGCTTATATCATGTTTTTAAAAATCTTATCCTCCCCCTCCTGTCCTACAGGATCTGATCCTGTTTCCAAAGAAGTCACTAATAAACCTCCCATTGATTTCTTTGGAAGCAGGATCAGACCCATAGCAAGGAGATGCATTTCTTGGATCCTAAATACTTCAGAAAACAGGATGACAAAAGTTTTCTGTAGATTACTATAATTGAATTTGAAGCATCTAATTTAAAAACAAACAAACAATGGAACACAGAACTATCACTATGTGTGCCCCAAATTTAATCTCATGTAGATGCCAGAGTCTATTAAAGGAGTAGTGGGCAGACCAGGTGGAAATCTGAGAAATTAGACAAGAAGCCTCGAGTCATCTTTCCCTCAGTGCTGAAAATGTGTCTCCTGATAAGCAGGATCTGTAATGCAGGTCTGTTCTAGTAGGACCCACTATACAGCACCAAGTTAAAGGAGCTTGAATACAAGGATGGGCACAAAAATGGTTAAATGCTATACATACATTAAACCAGAGATGGGCAAACTATGGCCTGCGGGACCGTCCTGGCCAGCCCTTGAGCTCCCGGCCGGGGAGGTTAGCCCCTGGCCCCTTCCCTACTGTCCCCCTCCCCCATAGCCTCAGCTCGCCACGCTGCCAGCGCTCTAGCCTGTCGCTCCTGCCAGGTGGCGTGGCTGGCTCCAGCTGGGCGGTGAGCTCCTGCTGCTCTGAGCAGTATGGTGGGTGGATGGGGTGGGGAAGAGGAGTCATGGTACAGAGAGTGGTTGGATGGGACAGAGGTTCTGGAGGGGTGGTCAGGGGATTGGGGGTAAGGGGGGTTGGATAGGCCTGGGAGTCCCAGGGGACCTGTGAGGGGTGTGGATAGGGGTCAGGGCAGTCAGGGGACAGGGGCTTTCAGGAGTCAAGGAGTGGGGAGGGTTGGGTGGGTCGGGGTTCTGAGAGGGGCAGGGACACATAGGGAGTGGGTGCCAGCCTTTTTGAGGAGGCACAGCCTTCCCTACCTGGCCCTCCATACAGTTTCACAACCCTGATGTGGCCCTCAAGCCAAAAAAGTTCGCTCACCCCTGCATTAAACAGATCTGAAAGCAGGAATCTTACTTTTGGCTGCAGGCTGCGAATGCTTCAGCGTATTGGGTTGAACTTGAGATTCAGCTTCACCTGTTGGAGTGATGGGAGGGAAGGGGAGTTAAGATGACAGAATCCTGATCCATTTATCCAGTTATCAATGGAAGGGATGAGAAACATGAAAACTGATTTTAGCTCTAAATTCAGTCTAGCTCAGGGATCGGCAACTGTTGGCACGCAGCCCATCAGGGAAATCCACTGACAGGCCAGGACAATTTGTTTACCTACAACATCTGCAGGTTTGGAGGATCACAGCTCCTACTGGCTGCGGTTCACTGTTCCAGGCCAATGGTGGCTGCGGGAAGCAGCGGCCAGCACATATCTCAGCCCACGCCACTTCCCACAGCCCCCATTGGGCTGGAACAGAGAACTACAGCCAGTCGGAGCTGCGATTGGCCAAACCTGCAGACACTGCAGGTAAAACAAACCATCCCAGCCTGCCAGCAGATTTCCCTAATGGGCTGTATGCCAAAGGTTGCCGATCCCTGATCTAGCTTCTGCTTTTTGTAGATGATTCTACAGTAAAACAGGCAGAAAGGTTAAAGGTTAAACAACCTTACCTCATTGACAGCACTGCTTAGCCAGCATTGTCTCACTAACAGAAGTGAGAAAGGGACTATGAACTCAGCAGTCCTTAGCTGCTACTGTAACAAATAATCACTTGGAAAGGATTTCATTTCAGGTTTGCATCAAAAAGAGTTCAAAGCCAGCCCTGCCCAGTTCCCAGAGACAAATACAGTGGCATGTTCACAACTGTTTCAGGCCAGCAAACTGATCTCTTTCAACTGGCAGACCAGCTTCAGTTTCCCATCCACACTCTTCCCAGGTCCCCTTTTTCACAAAAGCATGAATAACCAAACATGCTTATGGAGAGCTAACAAACTCCTCAAACGCTGAACCACCAAAAGAAAATCACAATCAATCTATACATAGGTAAACGAGAGGCAGTTTTATCCACATACTTGATCTCCTGAATGACATCTTCTGGTTAAACACTGGATGTTTTTGTACAACTGTTGGGGTATCTGGAACATAGTAACAGAAGAAACATATGCATATTTTAAAGCAATACTTTGACTGTATTAGACTGAAGAAACAGAAAAGTAGTTTTGTCAAGCACAATCTCAGGCCTCAAAGTTACTTCTGCCCACCAACCTGCTGCATATCATCATCAGAAAACTGGACCAGAATAGTGCTTTATAACTCAAAATGCAAGCTTTTATATGAAAGTGAGGCTTTGGAGTATTCATGTAAAAAAATATGAGAAGGTAAAAGATAATAAAAAATTACTCCTGAAAAGAACAGTGTCAACTGCATTCCATCAACATGTATGAATGTGCACACTGTACAGTTATCAGTTGTTATGGTTTCAGTAAGGGTACATGTTATGTTTACTCACATGGTACAAAACCACCTACATTTATGGTTCCTTGAGTCAAATAAATCCTGTGTAATCGCAGCAATTGTCTCAAAGATGAAAGATCTCATATATAGATGCATAGTGACAGATGGGGGGGGGGAGAGAGTGTGCGCGCGCGTAGAGGATGCTAGCAGAAACACGCAGGCAGAATCTGAGCAAGGAAGGTGAATGGCTAATGGAAAGGTACCCCAGAATCCCAGGAGATAACCTAAAACAATTGACCCCGATCAGAGGTTTATGAGAAGGAAAACTCAGAAGTGAACATACGGGACACGAATGCTTTGTATCATGTCTAATACTTCAACACAGTGTTTGCTCAGCTGCAGCCACACTTGCCTGTCACATTGGGCAGTGTCCTCATTGGTGGCTGCTCGTTGTTTGAAATTCAGAATAGGATTACATTCAAATCACAGAAGTCAGCACAATAAAATGAACAGAGATCATAAATTTAACAGACACTGACCAATTTGGAGACAAATCAATCACGGACATAGTACTTCCAAACTGCTACTCAAAGGGCAGCTTGGCATTTGGGATGCAAAGGGAGATTTAAAACAGTCACTCCTTTCTCATGCAGCCTGTTCCAACCTACATGCTTAGCTGCCTTTATTTCCTAGTCTTTGTATTCAGTCACTGGATTTCTAAGCAGAGGATGGAATGCTGTAACTAAAGTGAAATTAATTCTCATGAGAGGTACCACCAGATGAATGCCTTTTGGAACCAAAACCACTTAATACAAAGGGCAGCCATCTCACCACATACCTGAAGACTGAGGGGTCATGCCTATGGGCAAGGGTGCTAAAGCATATCGATTGTGTAGGTGTTATACACCACCTCCTTGAAACTGAACGAAGGCCAGCACAGCTCTGCTTTTGCATGCATCTCCTCTCTCGTCTCCCAAGTCCAGTTCATCTCCATGCTTTGTCAGGTTGGTGCACCTGGCCGCTCCCCAGGTCTTCTCCCATAAGCAATCATATAGCAAGTTGATTCAATTTTGACCAAACTGGATTTGAACCATACCCTATTACCAGTCCTCAATCACCCAGTCCTCCATCAGTGTATCTATTCAGACGCTTTAGTATCAGTTGTAGGAACTGCAAATCAATTTATCTTAAATCATGTCTTAAAGGGGCCCTCAACTTTAAAAAACCTATTTCTGTCTAAAAAGTCTTTTCGTACTGTTACAAGTCACATCTAAGATGTCTATAACAGAGAGTAGAGGAAAAAATTCTCTTCCATCACTTTATTTGATAGCACTTGGTATAGTCACTTTCCATTGCTGGAGTCATTGGGAGGTGTCAGTAATTCAGCTCTTCTGGAAAAAAAAATAAGGCCACCTAATTAAGTGGCTACAGTCCCACTCCTGGAAACACACATATGAGTAAAGTTACTCACATGAGTCTCATCAAGCATTTATCTTAAGTGTTTGCAGGCCGGGGCCCTATATGTGCACTTAAATCTAGGATTTCACTTTTGAGTATTTTGGCCTAAGACAGTGTAGTGAGTATTACTCAAAAAAAAAATCCACAAAAATTGTCAAGGAGCTTTTTTCAACTGATTAGGTTTCAAATTAACAGTGCTCCTTTAATAAAATTAGGAGAATTTCAACTTTATTATATTTAAACTAAAATGACTTATAGTGGATTTCTCATGTTTAAACAAGATTTAAGCAGTCTAGAAAACGAATCTTTGCTCTATGTTGTGTCACATGTTTGTTACTTTTCAGCAAGATGACAGCCTCCAGCAAGAGATGGCAAACGTCCATCATCAGAACCCAGGACACCACAGACCCGGGCACACCAACTCAAAGTGGCTCCAGACCCAGCCAGAACAACAGATGCAAAAACTTATAGACATATCTCCAGTAATACAATGATCATCATCATCACCCCCTGCAGGCCCCCCCACCCCTACCCCACATACCACCCTTCAAGAGCCATGGGTCCTACTCATCTAGTGCACTAAATGTCCCAACAATTATGTGGCAGAACCAATCATTAAGCTCTCAAATGAACTCACACAAGACAAACACCAGATCACCTGTTGGCAAACACTTTTCACAAAGCGATCACTCTATATCTGACCTATCAGTCCTCATCCTTAAAGGAAATCTGCACAACACTTTCAAAAGATAAGCCTGGGAGCTTAAATTCATAACTTTGCTAGATACTAAAAATCATGGTCCTAATAAAGAGACACTAATGTATGTCTTATTACAACAATCTGTAACCCACTAACCCCCTTTTAGTCCTATGACATCAGGGGTGTTAATAGGCCACTTCACCTTGAATGCTCCCTTACAATATATCATAAGTAGTTAGCATAAACTCTGTTCAATCTTTCATTTAGTTGTGACACTCTTCGTACCTTTCCCACAGCTGAAGAGCTCTATGTAGCTTGAAAACTTCGCTCTCTCACACCAAGAATTTGGTCCAATAAAAGATGTTACCTCACCCACTTGGTCTCAACTGTACAAATATTATTGCATATATATCAAAGAATGGTTCTCTCTGCCCAAATTTTCAGAATGCTACATTGAACTACAAAAGCGTACTGCCATATATACAGGACTGTACTGTAATGATATCTTGTTATGTTTTACTTTGTCTGGCCCAAAGTTCACAAAGTTTAAAAACTGAACTGATAATCATTGGAGACAAACCCTTTGACAGGAGGAGGGATGGCTGCAAAACATCACTTCCATTACCTCTTGGCGGTTGAGACACAGTCTTCTTATAATTTTCCCCATCATTTTCAGATTCATTGTCACTGTAGCCATCAGCATCCTCTTCATCTTCCTCTTCCTCCTCATCTGCAAAGACAACAGGTTATATAAAGATTAAGAACCGCTTGCCACACAACTCAAAGGCTATTATATATAGCTACAGCATGACATTTTACAGAATAAAAGGACAGGTCCTTGTCTCAAGAAGTTTATGGCCTACACTAACCATGGGACATCAAAAGATGAAGGCTACAACAGGAAAGGTTGTAAGATAAACTACTGGATGCACATATCTTGTTTAGTTGCTGTTTTACCAACTTGTGTAACTGTTTGGGAACTACAGTTCTCCCTTGGGTAATGTTAATAGTTGGAGGAGAAAAGTCCAGCAAGATGGCAGGCCAACCAAGAGAATCAAGCTAGGAGGAGGATTTGAAAGAGTGAGGTACCACTATGTGGTGCACAGAGGGATATCAGAGGGATATTTCAAGCGTTCAACAGGGGTGTGGCATGATACATAGCACAGAGCTGACTGTGAGAGGAAATCAAGAGAGTGACTAGATGCACTGGGCTGACAAAGCATGGGGCAAGAACACTGAAGAGGTCGTGAATGGAAGAGCAGAGCCGTACAGCACCTCGAAGGTGAAAGGTGACCAATTCAGACTGGCCTCTCAAGACTACAAAAATACATACAGGTGTGAAGAGGTTTCTTTGTCTTTGTTAAAGAAATAGCCCCTTCCCACCTTATGTAATACCAGTCCTCTCAGCATTCCTTCATAAAAATATCATTGCCTATTCTGCAGTTCCTGCCATCTAAAACAGTTCTTTTATATTACTCCTTTTCATTTCAAATCTTAGTTGACTAATTTCTCATATGTATGAGATAATTACAGTTTCACACTCACCCCCTAGTTATATTTAAATCTAAGTTTGTATTAAAGATACAATATTATTTTGTAAGGTATTGTATTGCTGAAGTCATGGGCTTTCCAATTCAGGAACCACAGTCTAAACAAACCTGAGAGCTTGAAGTGAACAGAGTTAGATAGGAACCACCAGCATGGATCAGACCAGAGGTCCATCGAGTCCATTATTATGTTTCTGACAGTGGCCAGCACTAGATGCTTCAGAGGTAAGGATAAGAACCCCACAACTGGCAGATGTGAAGTAATGTGACCCCAACATTCAGTCTCTTCTTGATCTCTAGTAGTTAGAGATTGGCTTAAGCCCTGAAGCATAAAATTTAATATTCCTTCCAAAAATACAAAATTATTTTCTTTTGATAAATGTGTTTTGTTTTTTTTTAAATCTCAGTCCACAAGTGGGAATCTCATATTGAAACACAAGGTTGTAAAAAGTCAAGGACCAACACACAGTAGGGGAAAATGGTGCCGGTAGAGGCAAGAAGCCTCTTGATGCTACTATGGCCCATGACTGGAGACCCCCCAAGACAACTCTGATTTCTGCACTCGTAATATCTATGCTACACTAGACTTTTCTGCAGTTACAGATCCACAGCACCGCCAAAGGAGGGGGATTAGTTTAGAACTTACATAGAAAGGGGCATAGCAACTATTAGCAAAAGTTTTCTACTCTTTAAGTGAGCCACAGTTACCACTGTATTCACAACAGACCCATTAGGCCAGATATTTTTACATGGCTGATAGCTACAGAAGCTGTTCATAGTCATTTGCTCTCAAAAACTGTGCTCAAGATCTCAGTTTTGCCTTCCCACATTCAATTTTCAATATTCACCTCTAAAAATGTACTGGGGCTTCTTCCAAACCCATATTTGCAATTAATACTTAAAAACTCCCCTATATAATGCTTACAGTGGGCACCAAGGCCAGTTTAGGGAAGACTGCTATCCTATGCCCTAATAGCATATAAGAAATATGTACAGCTTTCAAACTTCTCAAAAACCAATAAAAGTTCAGACATGGCTTGCTACAGGGCTTTACTTTTATTGAATTTTTAGGATTCCAAGAGATTTAACTACTGAAAAACTGCTTCTGTGGCAACAGTGTCAGTCAATGATTCAATAGCAGTCTGTTTGCCTATTAAATAGGCATTTATATGCTTCACTCTAAATTGTTTGTCTGATAGATTAGGATTTACTCTAGAAAATGAGCAAGTGGAGAAAATTTTTGTAGTATCTAAACATCCAGGTTCTAAACATCCTGTTTAAATGTAATAGGAGTTTCCTATCTACAAAATGAATGTATCGGTGCAAAATAAAAAAAGTTAGAAGTAAATTAGTTCTATTAATTGACTATCTTTTTGAAGTAATAAAATATGACTTTTACAAAACATAAATTGTGTGGCTATTTGTAAGGTGATTATTACAGTAGAAGCTCAGAGTTATGGACACCTTGGAAACAGAGGTTGTCCATAACTCTGACATGTTTGTAACTCCAAACAAAGTGCAGTTCGGGCTCCAGTTCCAGCAGCTGACATTCCAGGACAGGCTCCAGCAGCAGCTAAACTCCCTCCTCAGCACCAGCAACTTCCTCGCAAGCAGCTTCTTTCCCTGGGTCGGACTAAATTTGCAAGCTTGTCCCCCTCCCAGCTGAGTGTGTGCGCGCACGTGAGTAAACAGCACATCCCCTTCCGGTCGGGGAAGTAGCGGCGCAGACCCCAGCACTGCTCCTGCTCTGTTGTCTCCGTCTGCCTTGGGCTGGCAGCCACAGCATCTTCACCTCCTAGCTGTAAGTGGCTGCCCCGTGCATGGGGTGGGATGGGGACAGGAAGCCAAAGACGTGCCTACCTTTAAGATGCAATAGAGGCACAGTACAGTATTTCTTTTTTGGGAGGAGAAGGGGGGTCTCTACTGCTGCCTGATTGGTTACTTCCAGTTTCACATGGAGTCTGGTTGACTGGTCAGTCCATAACTCCGGTGTTCGTACCGCAATAAGTAATTAATAAACTGCTGCCACATCACTTAAAGCATCTAGAACTACAGTGCAATGGAAAATATACTGTAGGAACAGTCCTACCCTGGGAGATGGGATAATCAGTTTTTTCCATCACCAGTTTTCAAGATTTTAGAACATCAAGGTCATGGATCGAGTGTAAGACCTTCCCACAAATCTAGGGAAGATGGGTTTTCAAAACTGTTGCAATGTGCTATCAGAAAAGCAAATAGTCAAGGAACTCAAGACAAACACTGACTTTAAAAAAATATTAAAAAGAAAAAGAAACACCCACCCCACAGAGTGCATGTACCACACTCAACTTGATCAGAAAACAGGACTAGTCAGTTTCACTTTTACTTAGTTTCACTTCTGGGCTCTCATGCAATAGCACAATTGCATCTGGGTTTTGTGAGGGTGCCAGATGTCCAACACTCTTGGGGAATATTTCACCACCAAAAGCATAACACTGTTTTTGCTGAAGTGTTTTTAAGTTTTCACAAAGACACTTCTTTATGCCATGGGCTGGTCTATACACAGTTTAAGTACCAACTTACCTATATCCGTTTAAAACCTGATCTTTAGGATTGGTGCAATGCCACACTGTGGACACAGTTATACGGGTATAAAGCTGCGTATATCAGTATAGCTTATTTCCATAACAGAGTGTGTAGACAAGCCCTTCGATTTGTAAAGCTTTTCTTTCATGAAAAACCTACATTTGGGACCTTAACTACTTGTCAATTCATCTTTAACATTCTTAGGCTACCCAGACACTCATGTACTCCCAATAGTTTACACAACATATATGCAGGTCTCTCTTTAGATGGAAGCAAAGAGAACAGAAAGTAAGTGATACTTATTCTAGGAACAGCTCACACCAATTTTTGGGCTAAATTTAAAATCTATTTGTCCAGTTTTAAAAATACTCTCCAGTTATCAAACAGTAAGAAGAACATAATGAAACAGTGGGAAATAGTTTTATTTCACATAAGATTAAAATACACTGCTACAGCACATAAAATCTCCAAATATGAAATCAGATGTCTATGTTGTTCAATAGAAGAGTTATTTAAGTCACTACTACTACTAGAAGCGAAAAATATAGCTATTAATTCCCTTACAGACTTCAGCAGTTCCAAAGAGTTTTAACCTGGTTGTAATTATTTACTACAGACAGAAGTCGGAGAAAATTCCTGTGTTTCTCAAAGAGCAACTTTCAAATGTTCATCTGTATGTCTTAGGCCCTATAACACTAGCGGTTAATGGGGAGTCTCCTTTAACTCAGGTAACAGTGGTCTATCATCTTGGAGAAACTGGGCTGTGATGGGGATAAAATTATGCAAACAAATCTCTGAAATAATAGCAAAAGAGTACAGCTGAAAAGGGCTGTCTATGAAAGCCACAGCTTGTTTTCTTTTTACAAGGTACAGTGTCAAGTTCCTTTTAAGAAACAAACCTTTGTTTCACAAACCCATCCTTAAAGAAATCTGCAGAATTAAGCAGAGTTATTTGTCAACTAGAGGGTTTTTTCATAAGCTCTGTATTACAGGAACAAAAGTCACAGGAAAGAGGAAGATGCAGACATCTGCAATTTCACTTCCCTCGTGAAACTAAATACTGAGGTATAAATCTTGCCTAATATCACCAGCTAGTAATGCAAACTGCCTGACTGGGGAAAAAGTTATCATGTAAGCAGGTAGCATCTTTAACCTGCTCTTAGAACAGCAAACTCTCACCCTCACCCTGCCTGGAGTCTGGCTTTATCAAAAAGGGAAACAAATTCCAGCCTGAGCCTTTTCCTCAGGCTTGGCTGTTCCTAGGATCTTCCCTATGGCCCCTACTGTCCCAGGATCCTTCTGCCCAGAGTATCACTCCCACCTTCCCTATAGGAATGGAGAAGTTAACAAGCCACACCTAACACAAGACTACTGTAATCAGCAGCTTTAGACAGGGCCTACCACCTGCCTACATGGTGGGTCTTCAGAACATCCCTGTTTTGGTGACTGATCTTATTTGACACACCCAACAGTAGGTAACACGCCAGCAAATCAGAAACTAATGTTTTAGAGTATTTTCTGATAGCCAAAGTATATAAGACTGTTCTTTAAACTCTTCAGAATCCAGTTTTTAAAACTGGTACTGAGCTCAGCCATTCCTACAGTATCAAAATCCACTATGCAAAGTGATTCAATCTGCAAAATTATTCACTGTATAAGACACAATATACAATAGTGAGTGTGGTTATCGTGATAACTGTAAACACGAGGCACAAGCCAAATGACGAATACTTTCAGCATCCAAAACATGCCTTTAGTGTAAAAATCACTTATAAAATGGAAGGTTTGGTTTTAAAAAAAACAAATCAAGAGCACTGACATTTATAACCTTCTTAATCTTTGTTCATTTACATAAATTTTAAATATATAGCTTAAAAAAATACACACACACACCTGTGGCCAGATCTACACTAAAAAGTTAGGTTGACCCATCTACATCACTCCTGGGTGTGAAAAATCCACATCCCTGAATGATATAGGTAAGCTGACCTAACCCTCATTGTAGGCAGCACAAGGTCTAGAGAAGACTTTTTCCATCCACATTACTACTGTCTCTCGGGGAGGTGGATTAACTACAGCAATGGGAGAACCCCTCCGGTCGCTGTAGTAAGCGTCATTGCAGCAGCTGTGCCACATGCAACTTAAAGTTTTTGCATTGGGATACGGTTTTTTAAATTTCAGTTCTATTCATGGTGGTGTCATAGCAAATGCAATTCTGAGTAAACTGAAATCCTTTCGAAATAAAAATCCACCCAATCAGCTTCCAGTGTCATGCAGTTAGACCTCAACCTTACTGTATTGGAGCGGGGAAGGAAAACAAAAAAAGTCACTTAATAGCACTTTGTCAGAGGTCTCTACTTGGAACACTCAACTTCTCGGCATTTCTCAAGCAGCAGCCAAGCTGTAGTGGCAACGTTCTGTTCTGTATGTGCTCTCACTCCCTTTCTCAATCTGGGCATTACAGTCATAACAAGCTTCAGAGTAACAGCCGTGTTAGTCTGTATTCGCAAAAAGAAAAGGAGGACTTGTGGCACCAATTTATTTGACCATAAGCTTTTGTGAGCTACAGCTCACTTCACAGAGACAACCATATAATAGCAAGCAAGCCAGAATATTTAAAGTGGAAAAAAAGTCACTTGAACCAACCTGACTCATTCCTTTTGAAATCTCTTTTTGCACTGGAGAGCTTATATTCTGTAAGGCAAAACACCACAAGAACGATTAACAACAACAAAAAGGAAGGAAATGCAGCAGTCATGTTCGTGCTGTGGTTATCTGATGCAGTGACAGATACATTTCTCAGGACGCTGCAAAGACTGCACTCTTACAGACCTAGCTCCCCTCCCAAACTCCAGAGTTTGGCAAATTTAAACTTCGTTATGTCCTTTGTATTTTTGTTTAAAAAAAAAAAAAAGGGATGTGCCAAATTACACCTAACCATTAGACTATCAAGTCTGGTAACCCGCATCTGGCAGTGGTCTATGCTTGATGCTTTGGAGAAGGTACTGCCAAATCCCAACAATGCATTTTGTGAAATGCAATGCTATACATTGGATGGGCTGGGTGGGATCCCTTCCCGACCCTTCTGAGAGAGTCAATTTATATCTTGAAACATGAGATCTTACTACCCTTCTCTTAGCTTGCATAACTACAGATACTATTGGTCATAGCATGTACTCAAGTGTTTTTACAAAAAAAAAAAATCACACAATGTTATCTGACTCAATTACTATATGTTGCAATATCCCAGCCAACTATTACTACAGCTCATGCACTGTAAAACAATATATGCTTGTATAGCGCCTTCCATCTGATGATCTCAAAGGCTTTATATACATACATTAGTCCTCACAAACTCCTGTGAGATAGAAGAGTACCATCCCCATTTTACAGAAAAAAAAGCAAGGTGCAGAGAGATTAACTGATTTGCCCAAGATTATACAGCAAGTCAACAGCAAAGTCAGAAATAGAACTGAGGCCCCCTAATTCCCACTCCCTGCTGTGATCACTGAACTACGCTCCCACAAGTCCTGTGCATGTTTCACTAACATTATACCCCAACTAGCGAAAACCCGTCCTTTAGGTTTAAAAGAAACATTTACCTGTCTGTCGACTCTCTCTTATTCTTGGTCGAAGTAAAGATGATACATCTGCTATGCCAACTGCACTTTCACTCCCTAAAACAAGGGAGAGGAATACATTAAGAGCGTAACTTTTTTAAAAACTGGGTTCTGATGGGTTTATAGAACAGTTTGATGCACTTCCACTAACCAGAGAAAACACTCTGTAAATATTCTAGTTTCTGATTGGCTGGACTGTTTACTCTTATCAGACTATTGGGTATGGCAAATAAGATCAGGGAGTCACCAAAGCAGCCACTCCTCCATCACCAATACTTGAACCCTCCACTCCATCTCTTCAAGAACATGGTCTTCTTAAGTCCGCATCTCCAGTTTGGCAATTTTCCTGAGGTATGTGGGGTCTGTGCAGGACAAGTAGCTGCTAGTGTATCCAGGATATGGGCAGCAAAGGGGATGCGGGGACAGGGACAGGATTGTGAGAACTAGACAGAGACAAATAAGGGGACTGGGGCAGAAGGGTCTATTACCACTAGAGAACATCCCCCCGGGAGGCTGGAATTGATCTCAGGATCCTCAAGTCTCAGCAGTCCTCTGTCATGTGGCAAATAGCTGCAAAACCCACTGACAAAGTGAGTCTCTCATCACCCTCTAATAGCTGGTCCACACAGAAGATTACAATCTACTACCGCAAGCAGTCACTGAGTTAGCTCAAGTGGTATTGGCCAGTGCTCTGGATCTGAAGGTCAAAAATTGCACTTGCCTAAGGTGCAAGACAGGCAGAATTCACTCCTGAATGAGTGACAGTGTTAGATTTTATGACAGGGACCGAGACAGTACATGCTTTGAAGTCCTTCATTACCACTCTAAATGAAGCAATGTTTGATCCTGCCCCAAAATCTGGCCCTAGATCAAACCTAAAGAATCAAAGATCAAGCTCCACGAAACTTCCCCATATGTCACCGAAGAGCTAAAGAGGAAGTGAAGTTCCTCACCCAACCCTCCCCCAAAACCCCAATCCTGAGAGAGGTTAAAGCAATCAAAGAGGCTCAGAGATCAATAAAAGCAAGGTAAGAACTCCTAAAAAAATTGTTTAGTAATACCATCCTTCTAATCCCTAACCATATGGAATAATTGAACACCAGTGGATTAGGAAACCAATCTTTTATTCAAGAATACATCACTTTATGAACAACAAATAAATACTGTTTTCTTTGGCCTAGCACAATCCTACATACAAATGTTTGATTTTGATGTACCTAAATTATGTGCTGAGACCCAAGGGGCCTCAATATAATAAATAATTGTAATATTCTATTTTTATGAATCCTAAATTAATGGAGACTATACAAAAAACAGACTCCTAATTTCCTTGCAAAGGGCTTTGGCCACCTTTTTCACAGTAATTATCCTATTAAGGTGTATTTGAAAGGATACAACAGTGCCTTTACTGTGTAATGGCAATTTAAAATCTAGTTAGTGCCTACCTTAAGGATGTGAAAGAAGACACATAATACTACAGAGTGAAGTCTAGTATTTCTCTGCAGATAAGTAAATTATTGAAACTGGGTATTCTAGATATTTTGAGGAACTAATTTATTGTTAGCAATTCATAAGATCTGGGAGGAGAAGACTTCCTCTAACTGACAAAGGAAAGGAAAGAAAGCCCACTGTTACCTTCTGTTAAGTGTGTCTGACTGTTGGCCCTTTGTCTTCTGGTTCTATATGCGGACGCTTCATCTTCAAAACATTCATAGAAAAGAAAAAAACAAGTACTTTAGAAACAAACAGGTAAGTTAGTGTGCACCTATCTATAGAAATAAAAATCTCTGAATCAGTCTGGAAATTAAGTTTTTATTCAGTTTATAGAAGCACTGAGATTAAACTAGTAAAGTCACTCATATAATCACATAAGAGACGCAAGTTGTGTATAACAGAATATTCATCAAATATTTAAATACACAGGTTTTACAATTCAGCTTAAGCCTTCCTGCTTAATTTTAAGAGTTTAAAAATAGGAAAGGAAATAGGTCCCAGCAGGTAATAGGCATGGAAGTAAAAATAAAAATATAAAAATAAAGATACCCACTCAAGACAGCCTGGGTCAAATCAAACCACGTCGCCCTAGATCTGTGACCTGGTACTTTACCCTAGTAGCTGTCATCTTGTATTCCAGAAACTGGGGATGTAAAAAGTTACCCAGTTAACTGGTAAGAACTAGTCTTACTTGCTAACCAACCTTAACCGTTAACCCAGTCACGGCAGCGCCACCCCGTTGGAGTAGCCCCAGCCACGCCAGCTCTTTAATCAGTTAACTGTTTAAACAGTTAACTTTGTAAATGGTACTTACATCCCTACCGGAAACTAAACTGGCTCTTAAAAACAAAAACAAAATAAGGAAGTCTCAACCCCTTATTCACAGAGAACATTCAAACTGAGCTGACGAGAAACAGATGCAATAAAGCTTGACAAAGTCAGCAGAGAGCCTGAAACAACTATTCAGAGAGGTGTGAAATGCCCCCCCTCTCTCATTGCGTTAAGGGATGTGAACAACTTTGCAGAAGAGCAGCTATAAAGTAGCCCCCTCTCATACACAGATCTAGAACTATGTAGAAGCCAAAAGTTTTACCGCACTTTAGATTTACAACATGGCAAATGAGGCAGACCTTCTTACCAGTCAACACTGCTACAAAGTAAAGCTGAATTCCATGTCTTAAATTTACGCTGAAGTAAGAGCAAAATTTGATCTCTGGTGCACAGGGAATAAGGCAAGAGTGAACTCATTGCAGAGGATCAAAATAACACAGTAAGCTCATATCTACAAGTTACTTAGTTTAAAATATTTGAATAAGTTTTAGTTCCATTGAGGAAGCAAGTGTTGCATCAACAGACATAACTGTATAACACACAGCCTGACTTCACTTGTTTCAGTGAGCTATTTAAATATAAATGTCACACACTTTTTGCACAGGGTCCAATTCTGCTACCCTTACTCACTAAGATCAATGCTTAAGTCATATATTACTCAACATGAGTCAGAGTAGCAGAATTAGGCGTTCACAGTGCAGAGTCCAACCCGCACAATGAACAAGGCAGGGGCCCACAAATAGAGTATGCAATCATAAAGTTAAGTACCATATTGTAATAAATATTTACAGGGGCCTGAATTAATGGTGTACAAGTAACTTCAGTTTAGTCATTCCAGTCTTTTGGGGATTCACTTTAAAAAAATACATTAAAGTTGTATAGAAGGTAACACATCAACTATTTAATAAATACAATACAGACTTTCTGGTCCTTTGAAAGAAAACTGATGCTGGATACAAAGTTATGTTGTGGGGAGACAACTAAGAAGAATGTAGTACAATGCACAACTCATGTAGATTCCCTAGAGATTTTTACCATAGACACAAACTGGTGGGAAAACGGTCAGTACAATGCTCAAGCTGAATGTCCTCTGTTCCACATCTCTTCCCTCCCTGTCTCAGATGCTCAGGCCACTGAAGTTTAACAGCAAACTCTACCCTCCTTAAAATGGCAACCCCACTGGGAAAACCGACTGTATAAAAGAAACATGTGCAAGCAGGTAAGAGAATGGAATTAAATTGTACCCAAAATAAAGCTGTTACTCTGTTTTCAAAAGCCAGTTGGCCCTACCCTGTTTCTTGGAGCCCAACTGATTAGTTTACTGGCCAGATGTCACTGTCACATTAATGATCTCTAGGGAGCCAGGTTGCCCCGTCTTCCCCACCTGGGTCTGCCCAGCCTTCCTTATCGCGGGAACCGTTTTAAGGGAAGCGTGTAGATCTCCTGCTGCTAATTCACCTGCCCCTTTGAAGCCGTTTAGCTGCATATGACAGAAGTAAAGTCTGCTGCGTTTCAGCTGTCCCCTCCCGACATTGAGCAGGCAGACCCAGGGAGCAGCTGAGACGCGGGGCACGGAGAAAGGAAACGAAACCCAACCCAGCCCCAGCCGTGCTGCAGCGAAGCGGTGCCTCTCCCCCGGGGAGCCCCGCACGTGGTGGGTCCAGCATGCACCCACAAGAGGTGCACCGTGACCCCCACCACGGGGACGGTCCCAGCCGATCCCCAACCGAGATGCTGAGCACGGCAACTCTCACTGAACCCAATGAGAGCTCAGCACCCTGCCACCCCCCGGGCTTAGCCCCACGGAGCCCGACCGGCGACGGGGACCGGGTGAGGCAGAGACGGGGTACGGCCTACCCATTCCCCACACGCCGGTACAGCGTCATGCCCGCGCCCCCCATTACACCACTCCCCACCCCAGGGCATCCCACAACTCTCCGAGGCCCCCGCCCGCGTCCCTTCACCGCGCTCCAGCGTGCCCTGAACCAGAGGATGCAGCAGGGGCGCGCCCGCGCCCGCCCGCCCCAACGGCGCGGGTCGGCAACTGCTCCTCAGTCACTCACTTTCCGAAGCCTCGGCGTCCCGCCGCCTGGTCTCCGGCCCCGGCTGCCTGGCCCCGGCTCTCTGCCGTGTCTGCATCTCCACCGCTCCCGGGCGCAGCGACTGCCTGGAGCGCAGGTAATAGGCTCCTCTCGGCACTCGCTCCTTCCTCGCTCTTCGACCTTCGTCCTCAGGGAACGCCTCCTCCGCCGGCCGCGTTTCCATCCGGACACGCCCCACCGTCGCGCTCCTCCTCGGGCTGAAGCCGCCGCACTGCGGCCCGCTAGGGATAAGCTTCACTTGTCCGATAACCTCACTTCCTGTTGGCCTGGTCGAGGGGCGGAAGTTTATGGGGTGTCTCGTTCCAGCAGGGGCGCCATTTTGAGGGGCGTTTCTCTTGGTGGGCTTTGCTGGAGCTGCCTCTCCCTTGATTGGGAGGAAGTCACGCGGCGTGACGCAGCAGCGGCAGCTCCGCCCCGCCGCCGAACGCTCCGGCGGGCCTGGCGCTGTCAGCGCCGGTTCTCCTCCGTCCCGGCTCCAGCTGCGGAGCAACCTCCCCCCCCCCCCATTCCAGAAGCGGTTCCAGCAGCAGCCCTGCCCAACAGTCAAGAGCTGGGTCTGCCGATCCCCTCCCCGCTCCTTCTTCCTCCCCCTCTACTCCTTTTTCTAGCCTTCCTTCCCTCCCGCTCCCTCGTCTCTGTCCTCCCTCCGTCCCCTTTCCCCCAGAGGCGGGGGCTGGCAGTGACACCGATTGGTCTCTGCATGGCCCCAGTTGAGAGAAATGCGAAAGCTTCACCCACGCAAGCGCGCCTGAGAAGGCAATGAGAGGGACTGCTAGTTACAGCAAAGAACTGGGAGTCCAGAGTTCTTTTCTTGGTTTTCTTGCCTGAACTTGGAGTGGCTGTTTCGCCACGCTAAAGCTCACTCAATGAGTAATCCCTTGAAGTCAGTGGACCTACACGTGTATAAAGTTACTCCTGCATGTAAGAATTCGTTGGAATAGGGCCTAATAACGCTGTAGTTCAGTTTTGCTCTAAAATAGGACTAATACAATACCTACCTCAGAAGGTTGTCACAATTGCAATTCACTAATATATGTAAAAGTGCTGTGAGATGTTCAGATTAAAGACTAGTCCATCTTTGTGTGGAATGTTGGTGTAGAGGGCTTCTACATCCATAGTGGCCAGGATGGTGTTTTCAGGAAGATCACCGATGGATGGTAGTTTCCTTGGGAAGTCAGTGATGTCTCGAAGGTAGCTGGGAGTGCTGGTAGCATAGGGCCTGAGGAGGGAGTCTACATAGCCAGACAATCCTGCTGTCAGGGTGCCAATGCCTGAGATGATGGGGCGTCCAGGATTTCCAGGTTTATGGATCTTGGGTAGCAGATAGAATACCCCGGGTCGGGGTTCCAGGGGTGTGTCTGTGCGGATTTGTTCTTGTGCTTTTTCAGGGAGTTTCTTGAGCAAATGCTGTAGTTTCTTTTGGTAACCCTCAGTGGGATCAGAGGGTAATGGCTTGTAGAAAGTGGTGTTGGAGAGCTGCCGAGCAGCCTCTTGTTCATATTCCGACCTATTCATGATGACAACAACACCTCATGTATCAGCCTTTTTGATTATGATGTCAGAGTTGTTTCTGAGGCTGTGGATGGCATTGTGTTCTGCACGGCCGAGGTTATGGGGCAAGTGATGCTGCTTTTCCACAATTTCAGCCCGCGCATGTCAGCGGAAGCACTCTATGTAGAAGTCCAGTCTATGTAGACTCCCTCCTCAGGCCCTACGCTACCAGCACTCCCAGCTATCTTCGAGACACCACTGACTTCCTGAGGAAACTACCATCCATCGGTGATCTTCCTGAAAACACCAATCTGGCCACTATGGATGTAGAAGCCCTCTACACCAACATTCCCCACAAAGATGGACTATAAGCCGTCAGGAACAGTATCCCCGATAATGTCACAGCAAACTTGGAGGCTGAACTTTGTGACTTTGTCCTCACCCATAACTATTTCACATTTGGGGACAATGTATACCTTCAAATCAGCGGCACTGCTATGGGTATCCACCTGGCCCCATAGTATGCCAACATTTTTATGGCTGACTTAGAACAACACTTCCTCAGCTCTCGTCCCCTAATGCCCCTACTCTACTTGCTCTACACTGATGACATCTTCATCATCTGGACCCATGGAAAAGAAGCCATTGAGGAATTCCACCATGATTTCAACAATTTCCATCCCACCATCAACCTCAGCCTGGACCAGTCCACACGAGATCCACTTCCTGGACACTACGGTGCTAAGAAACCATGGTCACATAAACACTACCCTATTCCGGAAACCTACTGACCGCTATTCCTACCTACATGTCTCCAGCTTTCACTCAGACCACACCACACAATCGATTGTCTACAGCCAAGCTCTACGATACAACCACATTTGCTCCAACCCTTCAGACAGAGACAAACACCTACAAGATCTCTATCAAGCATTCTTACAACTACAATACCCACCTGCTGAAGTGAAGAAACAGACTGACAGAGCCAGAAGAGTACCCAAAAGTCACCTACTACAGGACAGGCCCAACAAAGAGAATAACAGAACGCCACTAGCCATCACCTTCAAACCCCAACTAAAACCGCTCCAACGCATCATCAAGGATATCCTGAAGGACGACCCATCACTCTCACAAATCTTCGGAGACAGGCTAGTCCTTGCCTACAGACAGCCCCCCAACCTGAAGCAAATACTCACCAGCAACCACACACCATACCACAGAATCACTAACCCAGGAATCTATCCTTGCAACAAAGCCCGTTGCCGACTGTGTCCACATATCTATTCAGGGGACATCATCATAGGGCCTAATCACATCAGCCACACTATCAGAGGCTCGTTCACCTGCACATCTATCAATGTGATATATGATATCATGTGCCAGCAATGACCCTCTGCCATGTACATTGGTCAAACTGGACAGTCTCTACGTAAAAGAATAAATGGACACAAATCAGATGTCAAGAATTATAACATTCATAAACCAGTTGGAGAACACTTCAATCTTTCTGGTCACTCAATCTCTGACCTAAAAGTCACAATATTACAACAAAAAGACTTCAAAAACAGACTCCGAGAGACTGCTGAATTGGAATTAATTTGCAAACTGGATACAATTAACTCAGGCTTGAAAAGAGACTGGGAGTGGATGAGTCATTACACAAAGTAAAACTATTTCCCCATGTTTATTCCCCCTCCCCCACTGTTCCTCAGACGTTCTTGTTAATTGCTGGAAATGGCCCACCTTGATTATCACTACAAAAGGTCCCCCCCACACACACACTCTCCTGCTGGTAATAGCTCATGTTCAGTGATCATTCTCCTTACAGTGTGTATGATAACACCCATTTTTTCATGTTCTCTGTGTATATAAATCTCCTCACTGTATTTTCCACTGAATGCATCCGATGAAGTGAGCTGTAGCTCACGAAAGCTTCTGCTCAAATAAATTGGTTAGTCTCTAAGGTGCCACAAGTACTCGTTTTCTTTTTATAAAGCAGTATTATTCCTATAGCATACAGTATGGAAGTTTGATTTTTAAAAATACAATTTTTAAACACACACACGTGTCACCTCCAGAGGATTTTACTAGTACAGCATATAAAGTTATCTGGGATCTTCTGGATACAAGCTGTGATATAAATTCAAGATTATTAGGTTTATTTTGTTCATCTGGATTTGAGCAAAGAATATAAAAACAATTTAGGCAAGACAAATTTAACCAAAATGAAGAGGTCCTAAAGAGTTTACATTTTACTGAAAGAGGGGAGGGAAGGGAGCATTTCCTTCCTGCTATTTCTGCAGCAAAGTCTTATTTAGAATATATAACAGTCAGGTCCATGCCTTTTTCATACTGCAAGGTTATAAATTGTGTTTGGGGAGACATGGATATGCTCTGATCACTTCTTAAGCAAGAATATGGAATCATAGCTTTCTTCATTTCTTAGCCTCTCTACCTCTCAAGTGGGATGTTTATTAAAGAAGAAAGAAATGTTAAATAATGTTGTACAAGTGTGCTCTAGAAGTTCAAATTATGTTTGGAAGCCAGTGAAAATTTGTTATGTAAATTATGCATGCCTTCTTTCGTGCCAGCAGTAGATGTATGAACTGTCAATCTTTCAAAATGGAATAGGAGAACAAAGAATTTGAGCATTATGTTTAATTAAGCAATACAACAGGATGTAACAGATAAAAACCGCACGAGTAGGTGATTAAGTCCACAGAGCTATTTATTCTGGTTTAAGTGAGGTAGAAAGAGATCTAGTAAATGATTTATAATCTTTCATAGATTCATCTGGTAAATGTGCAGGTAAAACCTTTACATTTCACCTTCATCCAAAGGTCTCAAAGGGCTTTACAAGAATTAAATCAGGTGAGTTACTGACTGTAAATGAAAGGCAGCACTTCAAGATATGCTTTGTGTAATCATTTCTAGTGGACTACTGTGTATATTTCTAAAACACCCAAAAACCTTAGTTTAAAAATAAGTTAATGTTTCTAAGTGACACTATATATACACACCTATCAAAACCCAACAGGATTGTGACAAGTTATAATTTTGCTAGATGGAGACAAAGAAAATTAGACAAATTCAACATTTCCAATCAGAATAGTTTATAATCACCTGTAACTCAAAAACTGTTTAGCTTTATGTTTTCAAGCTTCTGTGACCAAATGCATTCCTATATTCACACCCTACACTCTACTGTAATAATCTTTGTACAAAATATGCCTTGTGAGGTATAATTTGAAAATTAATAACTCATATAATGGGAAAATGCATGTAACAACACTATATATAAAGTTATGAACATAAGCTGAAGTTATGACTGAAATGTGTTTATCACACAAGTCTGGGGAGAGCAAAGGGCAAGCTGATACCTGTAGCCAGGTGTCATCAAAGTTGATTGGCCATCAAAAGTCAAGTGGCCACTCTTTGGTAGCAAAGGGGGGAAGGAACAGATTGATTAGCATTTTTACAAACAACAACATGGAACCTCTTTCATCATGAGACTCCAAGTGTCCGTCCTCACAGCTGGAAGGAACTCTATCTAGGGGTAACCCTCAGTAAAATGCATTTCAAAGGGTGACTGGATCATAAAAGAGGGGAGCAAAGACATCCACGGTATTCTTTCTCTTGGTCCATCTCTGTGTCTCTCTCACTTTTTCACCTGAGAAGACAAAGGAAACAGCCTTTGGACTTTGGGAGGGGTTCTGACCTGAGAATTTGGCCAGCCCTGTTGCTAGGAACATTTGGTAAAAATTAGGGCTGTCAAGCAATTAAAAAAACTGATCACGTGATTAAAAAAATTAATTGTGATTAATCACACGACTAAAAAAATTAATCGTGCTGCTAAACAATAATAGAATACCCTTCATTTAAATATTTTTGGATGTTTTCTACATTTTCAAATATATTGATTTCAATTACAACACAGAATGCAAAGTGCACAATGCTCACTTTATATTTATTTTTTATTACAAATATTTGCTCTGTAAAAAAACAAAAGAAATACTATTTTTCAATTCACCTAATACAAGTACTGTAGTGTAATCTCTTTATCATGAAAGTTGAACTTACAAATGTAGACTTATGTAAAAAAAAACTGCATTGAAAAATAAAACAATGTAAAACTACAAGTCCATTCAATCCTACTTCAGCCAATCGCTCAGACAAACAAGTTTGATTACAATTTGCAGGAGATAATGCTGCCCACTTCTTGTTTACGTCACCTGAAAGTGAGAACAGGTGTTCACATGGCACTGTTGTAGCTGGTGTCGCAAGATATTTATGTGCCAGATGTGCTAAAGATTCATATGTCCCTTCATGCTTCAACCACCATTCCAGAGGATGTGTCCATGCTGATGATGGGTTCTGCTCAAGAACGATCCAAAGCAGAGAGAGGACCAATACATGTTCATTTTCATCATCTGAGTCTGATGCCACCAGCAGAAGGTTGATTTTCTTTTTTGGTGGTTTTGGTTCTATAGTTTCCACATCTGAGTGTTGCTCTTTTATGACTTCTGAAAGCATGCTCCACACCTCGTCCCTTTCAGATTTTGGAAGGTACTTCAGATTCTTAAATGTTGAGTCAAGTGCTTTAGCTATCTTTAGAAATCTCACATTGGTACCTTCTTTGCGTTTTGTCGAATCTGCAGTGAAAGTGTTCTTAAAACAAACAAGATGTGCTGGGTCATCATCCGAGACTGCTATAACGTGAAATATATGGCAGAACATGGGTAAAACAGAGCAGGAGACATACAATTCTCCCCCTAGGAGTTCAGTCACAAATTTAATTAACACATTTTTTTTAAACAAGCATCATCAGCATAGAAGCATGTCCTCTGGAATGGTGGCCAAAGCATGAAAGGGCATACGAATGTTTAGCATATCTGGACATAAATACCCTGCAACGCCGGCTACAAAAAGTGCCTGTTCTCACTTTCAGGTGACATTGTAAATAAGAAGAGGGCAGCATTATCTCCCATAAATGTAAACAAACTTGTTTGTCTTAATGATTGGCTGAACAAGAAGTAGGACTGAGTGGACTTGTAGACTCTGAAGTTTTACATTGTTTTGTTTTTAGTACAGTTATGTAACAAAAAAAATCTACATTTGTAAGTTACACTTTCACAATAAAAAGATTGCACTACAGTACTTGTATAAGGTGAATTGAAAAATACTATTTCTTTTGTTTATCATTTTTACAGTGCAAATATTTGTAATAAAAATAATATAAAGTGAGCACTGTACACTTGGTATTCTGCGTTGTAATATAAATCAATATATCTGAAAATGTAGAAAAACATCTAAAAATATGTAATACATTTTAATTGGTATTCTGTTGTTTTACAGTGTGATTAATCGCAATTAATTTTTTGAGTTAATAGTGTGAGTTAACTGTGATTAATTGACAGCCCTAGTAAAAATTTTACCTTGAACCAAGTCTAGTTTAAGTTCATAATGCGTTTTATCTTTATTTCTGACTTTAATACCTTGTATTCACTTCAAATCTATCTCAACGTACTCAACACATTAAAATGCCGATCGTGCAAAAAGTTGGACATGTAAGTAGTCTCACTGAACTCGCCTTAGGCCTGATTTTCAGTGGTACCAATCACCTGCAGCTCCCATTGACTTCAGCTCAAGCTGTGGCTGCTCAGCACCTCCGAACATCAAGTCAAATGTGGCTGAAGTTGGGCTCCCAAAATGTGAGGCTTCCAAAAACACAGGACCCTTATGCAAATTTTGGTTCAAATGTATGATTTTGCTCCTGGCATGCAGCACTGTATAACTGGGAAGCCAATGCAATTCTGCAAATATTCCACCAAGACTGTTGCCCCTAAGTTTGGAGTTCTCACTTGATTTGTAACCACATATCCCAAGGCATAAAAGGTTGGGCATGGTAAAGGTATCTACTATATCTCTAAGGGATAGAAGGCAGACCTTGTCCTTCCTCAGCACCATCAGCCTAGCAAAACTGCAGTCCAGTGAAGAAGCTAGTTGGCCTTCCTCACCCCTGGAAATAAAGTAAAATATTGCTATGTGTGAGAGGGGACTAACAAGGGAGGAAAAATGCCAAGGCCGAAGGAGCATTGTCCGATCTCTAGCCAGCCTAATTCAGAGGGTGGGGAGGAATCATTTTTGTGCAGTCGGGAGGAGAAATTCCTGGCACTGGAGGAATTACTAGGTGGAATTCAATGGCCTGTATTATGTAGGAGGTCAGACTAGATGATTATATTGGTCTCTTCTGACCTTAAAATCTATTAATTTATGAGAGTGGCAAATACATTTTGTTTGTGAAATGTGGATTAAGGAAAAGATTATGCTGCATGATCCAGAAAGACACATTTTATATCTCTGTGAGCCATGCACCAGATGTATAAGAACACGAACAGAACAGATTCTCCTTAAGTGCATCTCAGCCTGTGCTATGCCCTTCCATTTTGTGAGTCTCCAAATTCAAAGAGAGTGCATATCAGGCTTTGGCTTTTTTCTTTCTCCTCTCCTTTTGCTAGGAGTTGATGAGCCCTTAAGCTGCTGAGTATCCAAGCAATAGCTCATTCTTACAGCCAGCCCTGTCGATGGATGAATGGCTGCATGTTGAAGAAGCATGCTGCTCTCATATACAGGAGAACATTTTCAAACCAGTTTCTAAATAACAGGCCCTCTGTGAGTGCATTCCTTTGTATGACTAAATAGATGAAGCTGCTTTGAAAATTTGACTGCTTTGAAAATTTGTTAAAAGATCAGTGAAGGGGTTAAAAACAAAAGGGCCCTTGACTCCAGCTCAGTTTTGCTTCTTAAGCTGCCTAGCATAATAGTAACATTTGAATGGTCCCACCTTTAACACTGAAGTGAGCCTTTTTGCAGCTACTCCAGTCTGGAGCCTGGTTTTCTACAAGGCTGGCTTAATGAAGTGACCCTTTGCCGGGAAGGCCACCAGGAAAAGGGCTGGACACTTTATTTTCTAAACGGGGATGTTTTGGATTCCAGAAAATAAAACAATAAATCTTGGCTTCTCTGATTTTTCTTTCCCACTTTCTGTTTTACACTGGCCCGTGTTATTGAAAAATAAGCAAATAACCACAGATTTATTATTTGTACTATGTAGCATTTATTCTGTCCCAACCAAAATCAGGATTCCATTGTGCCAATGCTGTACATACTGACAGATCAGTGTTTTTCCAGCCGCATCCCTCTGCGGACCACTCCCTTCCCAATCCCCCACTGGTTCTAGTTTCATTTTTCAGCCCACAGGAACTGACTCCATGGAGACATGGCCCACAGTGTGAGGTCTTAGTGTCTTTACTTCCGTATTTTTTTTTACTTACATAAATCACCTCTTTTCTCCCTTGCCTTATGCCTCTTAATAATTTCTCCCTCTGTTGTAATTCTGTTAATTGATCTTCCATCCTAATAATAGTTCTGTACCAAGAAAGCCACCAGGGCTGACAGAGACAGTTCTGAATATCCTCATTGCTGATCTTGTTCTGCTTCTTAATATGGAGCAGCTGATGAAGAATCAAAAACATCAGTCCACTCTCTTCAGCCTTCCTCAGCATCCACATCTCACTGCTGTACAATAAAGTTGGTGTAACCATAGTTCTGTAGATCTGCAGCTTCATAGCAAGCTTGATGTCATGATGTTCCCACAAAGATCACTGAAGGGCTTGAAATATGGCAGCAGCTCCTGCTATACAAGCATCCACATCTTCCGAGCATCCTCCAGCAGTATGATGCTTCTTAAGTATTTAACAGTTGCCACCTGCTCAGTGTCCCATAGAGACAGGTTAATACTGAGCTGGCTATAATCTGGGGTTGGAGGCTGCTTGATGGTAATTCGGTGGTGCGATAAGGTCATGAATCATAGAATACCAGGGTTGGAAGGGACCTCAGGAGGTCATCTAGTCCAACCCCCTGCTCAAAGCAGGACCAATCCCCAATTTTTGCCCCAGATCCCTAAATGGTCCCCTCAGGGATTGAGCTCACAGCCCTGGGTTTAGCAGGCCAATGCTCAAACCACAGAGCTATGAATGATAGACAGAGACTGAGCATGCAGCCAGATCAACTTAAGGACTGAGCTAGAGATCCATCTGAGTAGCACTTGAGCTGCAAGGAGGCTACCTTTCTTTGGGATTTGCCATGATGATGATGCAATAAATTTAATTCTATTATTTAACATCTAAAGTGGTTTGTGATACAGTCTGTTTGATGGATGCTCTATACAATTGTAGAGTTCTGTAAATAAGTCCAAACAGATGAGTGATTTCCTGAAAATACATGTCTGTAATCAGAACAAAGCCACTGACTGATCTAGGACTAGGGACTATTCATTCAAAGAAACGTGACTGTAGTCAAAGAGTGGGCGAAGAACTACATATCCCAGCATTCCACACTATGGCACCTTGGATGGGTGCAAAGTTCACTGTCACGTTGACAGTGGAAGGATTAAGAGCCTATGGGTGTGTGTATTTCGGAGGATCTGTTTTCCCTCTAATATCGAAACTGAAGGGTGCTGGGGACGTTTGTGGTAGGGAGCAGTTTAGATCTGCCTGTAACAACCCCTCTGCTAAGAAATACCCGCGAAGAGCAGCTGCTGCAATCCACACAAGTAAGTGTTCAACTCTTGGAGTTAATTTTCTCACTTCCTGCTCTTTCTAAATAACACAAAGGAGGAATCAAAAGCTGGTGGATTGGAGTGGGGGGCAGAGTGCAGAAATTCCTGGATGTGAGCTATAAATCTGACCACTTGCCGCCATAGGGAGCAGTTTTGTTTGTTTAACTCCAAATATGGCATTGCCTTCTGTTAGAGGGCATGACAATAGAGATGGTAGGCCATCTGGTGTGGGGAAGTATCTTATTAGACTCTGTATTAGGCACAGAGGGCACAGACTGCTGGTCCTGTGTCTATAGATCCTGTACTAAGCAGAAATCTTGTATGCAAGCCGATTGCCATCAGAGAAAGTTTCTCTTTTCAATTGCCCGTGTACTTACTCATTCCTGGTAGCCAAGTCTGAAGACAGGATACACTGCTCACTAGTGCTGACTAGAAATGATTGGCATCACAAAATGCATCATCTTGAAACTGAAACAATAGAAAACTTTCTTACGTGAAGAAACTGAATCCCATATCGCTCTTCTATGTTATTTGTGTCTTTCCCTCACATAGCGTTCAAAAGCCAGGCTCACATTCTTGTGACTTGGCAGGTTGAGAGCTTTCCTCCTCTTTCCTTTTCCCTTCAACATCTTCCCCCAGCCCCCCAGCATTTATATTCTGTGTGTGGCAGTTTTATTCAAACGTATTTTAAATGAGTGGATTAAATTGCTGGTGCGACAGCCCTGGAGACTGAAGTCCTCTGACCACACAGACATCACTGACAGGTACAGTACAACTTCCCAAATCACTGCCCCACCAATGGGATTCAGACATAAAAGCTTAGGCCTAGTCTACATGGGCTCGGTCTACATGTGCAAAGATGTTTTTTTTCCAGTTGAGTTATCTTAACATAATTGAAGATCTCCCATATAGACCCAGTTGAACACCTTTACAGTCATATTAGCTGCTTGTTAACAGCACTAGGCCTGAAGTCTGTAGATGTCACTGATTATCTGAGGTATATCTCGGTATATTCCATCATAAAGGTAACAGCTTCACACAGCTGCAAACAGCTTTATTAATGGCTTTGGTGGTGGTGGTGGGGAAGCTCTCAAGTTTCCCAGTATGAGTCATTGCTTTATTCTTTGTATTTAGTTGGCTCAGGGGTTGGTCTCCATGAGCTGGTTGAGACTAATCAAGCTACTCGGACCAAAAAGAAGATAGCAGGCATCTGTATGACCTAACCAGGAAGTGTAACAATCTAGTCAAGAAACCAAAACACCAAAAGATCAAGAGAATGGCAGAAAATGGAGACCAGGATCCTCATCAGAGTAAGTTTGGTGTGAATGTGAGGCCCTGGAATAGATGTTTTAGAAATAGGTTCATATTTAATAATAATTTTGAATATTTGTGTACTGTTGTATTTGTCATTGTTACTAGTGATATAATAAGGGAAATGGGAGCTGGCCCTTTAAGAATAGGGTTGGGTCACAGTGGGTAAACGCTTGCAGGGATGGGCTGGATTCCGGGGGTGGGGGGAATGCACACACCTGCGCTGGAGCATCTGTGTTTAAACAAAGTTCTCCTTGAAAAGCTGAGTCTTAAGGGAGTTCCATGCATGTCTCCAGTGCTATTGTCCCTAGCATTTTCAGACACACCAGAAGAGAAAATCTCCTCAATGAAACTAAAACCTGGAAAGGAAAAAGCATGTTTCATTTCTGTATTTCCAGTTCAATAAAAGGAAGCCCCGACAGTCACTATTGGTCTCTCTCAGACTTAAAGCAAACCTAGTGGTTTGAATTTCAGACTGTTGTGAGAACAAGCCATCCCTGTGTTGACAAGACCATAGATATCTATCCTATGTCCGGGGTTCTATCCATGACAATGATCAATGCCCAGTGCTTCAGAACAAGAGAACCTTTTGCAGCCCTGCACCTCCAACACATTAACACAGTACGGTTACCTAATTGTGCTCTGCTGTAGAGGATAGAGGGGAATTTCTTCCTGACCTCTGAAATAATCAAGCTTCAAGCACCTAAATGAAAGTCTAATCTTGTGGAGCAGGGGCGGGCAGGGGTCCCACAGGCCAATAGTTGGGGCAATTAACAAAGTGGCTTTTATTGCCGATGAACTAAATAATGGAAGCAGAACTGAATTTAAAGTTCCCAGTTTCCCTAAGAACATGCATATGGTTATGTTTGAGAATTGAGCGTGTTGTGGACTTAGGGGACCATAGGTGCTGGAAATAGGGGCTCTGAGGGAGCTGCTGCTGCACCCCCTGGCTTGAAGTGGTTTCATTATATGCAGGGTTTACAGTTTGGTTCAATGGCTCTCAGTACCCCCACTATAAAAATTGTTCCAGAACCCCTGTAGGGGACATGTTTTCTATACAAAGAAGAATTGGATCAGTTCTGAGATCCAAATTCCACAGAACCCAGAGACCAGGAAATTATAGCTGGTCACATAATAGACCAACTGTTCAACACATGGCCTCTAGCCCACTGGCCCCAGATTTTACATATGTAAAACAGAATGATCCTCACACCAACTACCTGTGCACAACTTGAGTATTCAGAAGCCTAACTGGAGAATTTATTTTTGTTTCTATGTATACTGAGTATTTTTATTCTCTAGTGCAGAGGGTCTCAAATTGCGGGGGGGAAGGGGCCTGAGAAGCTTTAGGAGGAAAAAAAAGTGCACATTTTACCCACAGCAATGAATAACTAGCAAAGCTGATTCCTCCAGACATATCAGATCCTCAGATAGCACTGTGACTTTGATGGATTTCTGGTAAGTATGAATAGCATTCGACAGAGTCGTTGCCATTTGTGCGTTAATCCGTTTGCTATGACGCTGGGTGCACCTTTCTTTGTAAGCATCAATCACAACTGCAGTGTTGCTTTTGCTCTTATGACAATGGATCGTTGGCTCTGTTTGAATCAGTGCCTTACTGTTTTTCATATTTAGTGAGAGTTGCAAGTTGATTATTTTTATCAGTATTTGTGCTGGTGTGTTGGGAGGTGTAAACTACTACAGACACAATGAATTAGATTCAAAACGTAGAGAATCCTTCTAGGCAAAACCTTAAGTTACAAAAAAGACACACAGACAGGAATAGTCATTCTATTCAGCACAGTTCCTTTCTCAGCCGTTTAAAGAAATCATAATCTAACACATACCTAGCTAGATTACTTACTAAAAGTTCTAAGACTCCATTCCTGTTCTATCCCCGGCAAAAGCAGCATACAGAGAGACACAGACCCTTTGTTTCTCTCCCTCCTCCCAGCTTTTGAAAGTATCTTGTCTCCTCATTGGTCATTTTGGTCAGGTGCCAGCGAGGTTACCTTTAGCTTCTTAACCCTTTACAGGTGAAAGGATTTTTCCTCTGGCCAGGGGGGATTTTAAAGGGGTTTACCCTTCCCTTTATATTTATGACACGCCCCCCAATCTCAGCTAGGGTGAAACGCTGGCTGGGATTTCTTCCTGAGCTCTAGGAAAAACAGAGTTAATAAGACACATGCACCTCTAAATATACTACCAAGTACATAAAGACTAACAATATTTTCCACATCTCAAGGACAATTTTAACCAGTTGATTCTGGGAAACTTTCACGGGAGAGTGCATCAGCCACTTTGCTAGAAGCTCCTGAGATGTGTTGGATGTCGAAATCAAAATCTTGGAGAGCTAAACTCCACCGAATAAGTTTTTTGTTATTTCCCATGGTGGTATGAAGCCACTGTAGTGCAGCATGGTCGGTTTGCAGGTGGAAATGCCGTCCCCAAACACACGGGCGTAGCTTTTCCAGGGCATAGACAATGGTGTAACATTCTTTTTCACTGACTGACCAGTTGCTTTCCCTCTCAGACAGTTTTTTGCTGAGAAACACTACAGGGTGAAATTCTTGATCAGGTTCTGCATTAAAACTGCTCCCATACCACGCTACAATCAAATAAGTTTGAGAACCACTGTGCTAGTGTAAAACAGATAAATGACAGTCCCCATTGCCCCCCAAAGAACTTCTGAACACATAAGATCACTTTACTCAGTCCACACCGATGCTAATAGAATTCAGTGGGTAATTCTTAGTAAAGATTGTATTCAACAAAGATATATTTTTTCCCTGTTCTTGAATTGTCTGGGAGCATCTTACAATTTTGTCAGATTTATTTTGTATTCAAAATTATTTGCTGAATAATTTCCATATGATAATAGTTCTTAATCTGCAGATTTTTTGTGAGCTGGTTGTTGCAAATATTTAGTATTTGAAATCTGAACCATGTTGGGTAGTTTTGCTACATCCTATAGCTCACTTATACCTGTTGTTTGTTCCCTGATTGGAAGTCTAAGATTCAGGTTCCTAACACAGATACTTATATTTACAAGTTCAAAACTTCCTTTGTGCAAATATTCTCTAATATTTGCTTTAAATTTCTGTTTCTGCAAACAAACCTAAATTCTTTGGTAGAACAGCCACGGAAAGTCAATGAATAAGAATCAGAAATATAGCAGAAGCAAGTTATATTTTTTATATACAGTAGTTACAAAGAAATGTTTTGAAATCACTCAGATCAATCTGCTACCATGTCAACATCACTAGTGGAAACTCCCCAAACCACAAAACATAATCTACATCCTCTTCTCCTTGACCTACTAACTAAGGAAACCCCAGATACATAGTTAGGCCTTATAACAGATCCTGCAATTTGATGGACTATACTTTCAGAGTCAAGGGACTTCCACCTAAGACTCTCGGTGACCATTTAAATGTCCTGGCTGATCTTGACAGCTGGGTGTAGAGTACAGAAAGAGGGGTAAAATTCTAAAATAGTCAGGATCCAATCTTTGCAGGACCATTAGCGTGAACAAATTATTGTATTTGCAGAGTGGCAGGCACAAATTTAGAGGCCAGGTTGAGACTTCTATGAAGATGGCCCAGTGTAGTTCATTGGTGGTGAGGGGTCATGGGAATCTCATCACCATTCTTGTTGTGTGTCAGTTTTGGAACATATAGGACTAGGAGTTTTGGTGGGAGTTTGTAGAAAACTAGTCGGCAACTCAGTATTCTTGACCTTTATATTAAAGAAAATAAACAGTATTTGACTTTTGATCCCACAGCCTATCTGGCCCAAGAATTGATGAGAAGAAAGGAGGAGAGGACTCCCCAGGTCCAAGAAGGTGAAAATGTATTGAGGACCCACCAAGAAAAGATGATTGAAGATTCTGGCTCTGTCCAACTGAAAACCTCCTTAGAAATAGAAACGCTAGGTCCCCAAGAGACAAACAGTGTGTCTGGAAGCTCCTCCGCAGTAGATGAAGAGGATTCCTCAGAGGGAAGGCCAGTGAGTTCTGATGGAATTTCTCTGAAAACATACACTAAGGAGTCTCCAGGCCTTCTGAACCTTAACCCAATGGGTTTACCAGACTATTCCCTGGACAAAGACACAGTATCTTCCTTCGGTGAAAGGAAAACACATTCAGTGCCAGTAGCTCTGGAGGAGAAAATCACAGGGGAACCCCCAACAGAAGAGAACAGTGTATCCACCCCCAGTGCAGAGCCACAAGATCCCATAATCCAAGAAACCACACTTTCATCTGCAGACTTCCTGGAATCAATGAAAGAGAGTATCTCAAACAAGGAAGAAGAGAGACCCCAAGACACTGCGCGGAAGAGACACTCGACTGAAGGTGAGTCAACAGTAGTTTGCACGACAAAGTGCTGCCATGTTTAAGGTCTGCAGATCCCTTGCCTTCAATTTAATGTGTGGTTAATCTCTTTGTAAGAGATTTGTAATGTGTGGTTAATCTCTTTGCGGCTTTGTAAGAATGGCATTGAGGGGTTTGTCTCTCAGTCAAGGATTGCAGATCACATGTGCCGGGTTTACAAGTAGGAAGATGTTTTCCCAGATTGCCAGTCCTGCAAACTCATTCTGGCCTCAGAGTCAACACAGTTGCTTCTACAGCTGGTCAGCAAATGAGTTTCTGTTCTGTGGAAAATTTAGACTTTTAATTGTAAAATGAAAACTCTTTTTTGGTTTTTGCAGGTTTGTTTTTTCCAACAAAAAGTTGAAAGTCTTCACAGCAACCAGGGGCTTTGTTCATGAATAGTTTTGTTTCATTGAAACCCCAGTTTTCCATTGGAAAAAACAGTTCTGAATGGAAAATGTTGAACTGGCCCTAGTTATTTCCTTCTTGTGTATCATCACCCCCACCAGCAGCAGAAGAGGTTCTGCAGGCCAAAGTGTGACCTCAGTGACACCCGTACAACCGAATTACCTTCAGTAAATTGACACACAGATGTGACTGATTGAAAGTTTGTGATAATCCTGTTGATGATGCATAAGACAGAACAGATTCTAGCTCAGGAGTTCTCAACCTATATCTTTCTGAGGCCCCCTCAACATGGTATAAAACCTCCATGGCCTAGCTGTGCCACAACAACTGTTTTTCTTCATATAAAAGCATAGATGCTGGAACTAGGGAAGCTGGGGGTGCAGCAGCTGCACACCCTGGCTTGAAGTGATTTCCATCATATACAGGGTTTACAGTTTGGTTCAATGGCTCTCAACACCCCCACTGTACAAATTGTTCCAGCACTCCTGTATAAAAGCCAGGGCCAACATTGGGGGTAGCAAGCAGGGCAATTGCGTGAGGCCCCATGCCACAGGGGCCCCGTGAAGCCAAGTTGCTTATGCTTCGGCTTCAGCCCCAGGTGGCAGGGCGGCGAGGCTTCAGCTTTCTGACCTGGGCTCTAGTGAGTCTAATGCCGGCCCTGCTTGGCAGACCCCCTGAGACCTGCTCGGGGCCCCCGGACCCCTGGCTGAGAACTGCTGCTCTAGCTCACTCTCTCTGGGCTGCAGTGGTTCAGAAGTAATGAGCAGCAAGAATATACTTTTGTCACTAAACTCAGCAGGTCTGACTGAGTACACACCAAGAGCAGAGCTATTCTGAGAAGGTTCAGTTCTTACACAGAGGCTTTTCAGAGCAGAACCGCACTTTAAGCATTTAATCACAATAGAAGGCAGCTTCTGTTCATAGGACATTTCACCCAGCTTTGCAGCTATTGCAGAGACTTTAGCTGGGTAAGAAACAACTCTCATCAGCCTCTCTTCCCCATCCCCACTGATGCTTGCTGGTGGAGCATGTTATGAAGATTCTTGCTCTACCCAAGATTTGGAGGCTGAGCTGACCAGGGACAAGCTGCAATTTCCAAAGAGCTGACTGGGCATGAAGCTATCTCTAGCTCAGCACAGATCCCAGCTGGCTTATTCTCACTCCGTGGGACTCTCTTCTGCTCGAGAAGAAGGGAAATTGTGAGGGGCTTTAAAGAGCTGCATGTTCCTTTCCATTCTTTGCAGGGTGGTGACAGCCTCCCAGAGCAGAGGCATCTGCAGCTGAAAGCAGTATCACAGATTTGCCATGTGTTCTGTGGATGCAGACTTTATTTTAGTAGTGTGATTAGACTAATTTTTGACTTTACTAGTGAGTGGCAAACTTCATCTCCCTTTTTTTTTTAAATATCTGACCCACAGTGGTGAAGTCAGAGGCTGAAGCCCATCCACAAGAGACAGAGACCAGGCAGGAAGCAACACCAGAGAAGGAGAAGCCCTTTTTAGGCAATGGTGAGAACGGGAAGGTTTCCTCATGGGTTACGTTGTTCACAGTTCCCCTGGAAAAAATCAGCAACCAGGATCAGATAATGAAACACATTCAGATCTTTCACTCAGGCCTCTCAGGCCAGGTCTGTACTACAAATTTACATCGATATAGCTGCGTCACTCAGGGGTGTGAAAAATTCAACCCCCTGAGTGACGTGGTTATACCAGTTTAACCCCCTGTGTTGACGGGAGGCTCTTGCGGAGGTGGATTAACTCTTTTGCCTGGGATTTGCGAAAACTGCTGCAAATTTAGTTTATTGGGGTTTTTAGAGAAGTGGGTTTGAAATGGAAAGCAACTCTCATCCATAACCAAGGTGTGTCTGGCTCAGTCCCATAGTACATGGGATTTCCCTAAAGTTCCCAGGGCATGGAAAGGTGTGAAGGGACACGACCTGCTCGCTGTGCAGGAAGGCATGCTTCCTTCACCATAATCCAGCCCCACAGCACCATGCCTTGGCAACAATGACAGGGCCTTCCAAGTAACTTGTCCCCTTCTCCCTGCAGGGACGTGGTGAGGTGGCCACTGTCTCTTTAAAATAAATACCCAACAAGGTACTTGTACTCGGCAATACTGGCAAAGATTTTAAGAAAAGGTGACTAAAGTTAAGCTGCTAAATCTTTATTTAAGATTTGAGCTAAAAGGCTGAGGCTAGTCTGGTGGCTAGGTGGCTAGCCTGGGACTTGGGAGACTGGGATTCAATCCTCTGTTCTGCATGTGGGATCTTGGGCAATTTCCTAAGGCCCAGATTTTTAAAGGTATTTAGGCATTGCTGCGCTCAGCCTTGTGCCACCTGACTGAGTGAGGAGTCTAAATCTCATTTGCAAAAGTGATTTAGGCACTTAAGGGGCCCAAAATCCCATCGAAATCCAATGGCTTTTAGGACTGTGTAAATACCACAGTCCCTTTTGAAAAAGAGATTTAGGCTTCCAAGTAGTTAGGCATTGCAATGCTGAGCACAGCAATGTCTAAATAAATACAGTTAACAATCTGGCCCTTAGCCCCAGATCTGATAAGATATTTAGGTGCCTCACTCCCATTTAAATCAATGAGAGTGAGGGGCCTAAATACCCTTACGGATCTGGGCCTTGCTGTCTCTGTGCCTTAGTTTCCCATCCATAAAACAGGAGTAATACATCCCAGCCTCACGGGGCTGTTGAGGATAAGTCCACTGAAGATTGTGAGGCACTCAGACACTACAGCACTGGGGACCATATAAATACCTTAGATAGATAAGCTATTTCGGCATCAGTAAGCAGACTGGATTTTGGAAGGCTGAACACCCAGCAGCTCCACCACGCCAGTGAGTGCCCTAAACTGATGGCCTACAAAGCTGCATTAGAAAACAGCTATGAAAAAGTGCTGTCGGATTGGGATTTGGTGCATTAAATTCTAGGGGGAAAAGGCAATAAATCACATAAAGGACTGAAGTTTCCCAAGGGAATGTGTAGGATCTCACACCATGGTTCCGAAGCTGCGGGCCGTAGCTCAGTCTGTGGATTTGTAGGGCCCTCTGCTCCGTGGCAGAGCAAGTCCTCAGACCTCAGGGAAGAGGGTTCTTTTTCAGTGCTACATTAAACATTTTCTGGGCCATCACTAGGGTGATGTGTTAAGCCCATCATTTCCATTAGAAAGTAGGTGTTGGGGTCTGGGAGATGGATAAAGACAAAGGCATATCTCTATGCTAGCCTCGAGCATGCCACTGTACTCATGTCGGACTCTTTCACTTTCTCTTGTCCCTTCCCCTCAACCTTCTCTAACAGGTCTTGCCTCTCCTGCAGCTTCACTGGGAGTCCTGATACTTGTAGTTTGTCTCAGCATATATTGCAATGGCTACTATACTTCCCAGCCCGACCATGTGCCAAAAAATCCAGCCTTGGAGGCCTTCTTGTCTGGGTTTAACCAGCTGAAGGACAGATTTCCGGGCCAGAGCTCCTATCTGTGGGTTAGAGGGCGAAAATTATTGCAGAGGCATCTCAACGCTTCCAGTCATACCGAGCCAGCTATTTTAATCTTTACTGCTGCCCATGAAGGTGAAGAAACCTTAAAGTGCCTGAGCAACTGTATTGCAGATGCCTACTCCACCTCACTCCGTGCCAGCACGATCCAGATTGACGGAGCTGGTAAAGCCGCGCTCAGCAGCGACAAAGCTAAACTGGAGGTGGATTATGAGCTGAGCACCGGCTTTGAGGAGGGCAAGAGGGCCGCAGTGGTGCACCGGTTTGAGTCCCTGCCAGCTGGCTCCACCTTGATCTTTTACAAGTATTGCGACCATGAGAGCGCAGCCTTCAAAGACGTGGCGCTGCTCTTAACGGTCCTGCTGGAGGAAGAGAAGCTGGAGGCTAATATGGACCTACAGCAGGTTGAGGAGAGAGTCCGTGATTTCCTCTGGGCCAAATTCACCAATGCCAACACTCCCAGCTCCTACAACCACATGGACACCGACAAGCTGAGTGGGTTGTGGAGCCGCATCTCCCACCTGGTCCTGCCCGTCCATCCAGTAAAAGCCATAGAGAACAATGGCTGTTCTTTCCAAACCAAACCATAGAGGTGAATGAAATCAGCTTCCACGATAGCCAAAGCCTTCATGTTGAGGAGGCAAGTCACTACTAAGTCAGGGATCTGGAGCCATTAATGAACAATGAGCTCACTTTATAATAGCATGACACTGTCACATCTATTTTTACCTCTTGGGAAGATTTTATAATTTTCAAAGTGAGACCCAATGGTGCAGGCGTTAACTGGCTAAGCCGTCTCAGCCAGTCGTGTTGGATATACACTAGAATGATGCTTCCCATTTGTGGAGTAATAGATGGGAAGAGCTAATGCTTTAAACTGCTAACTGCACAGCTAGAAGATGATGGCCAATGGGGGGAATAGACAGGGAGGGGAGTGGTTATTGAAGGGACAACATCACCTTGACAAGCAGATTCCTCCTGGAAACGATTGGACCTACTATAGATACATGTAACACAGGAGGTTACTATAACTGACAGAAGCAATTAAGTTGAAATATTTATCTCCTCTCCCCCCTCCCCCGCCCTATTTGTTTACATTTGACAGCAGTTTGCAAAAGGTGATTTCATTGTTTCCTTTGCAGTGTCAGTTTCTTTCTCCCTGACTGAAAGAAACGGGGGAGCAGAACACCCCAGTTAAAAATACTTCAGAGATATTTTAAAAAGAAAATTAGGATATACTGGCCAGAGCCTTAGCTGCTGTAAATCAGCACAGCTCCCTGAGAATCTGGTTCACTGTATATAGGGTGTTCAACCAGAAATGGCAATTTTAAAAGTAGTAGTCAATTAAAAAAAATATCAGGTTGACAGTGGTTCTAAGGACTCCTCCTGCAGGGGAGGAGGGGAGTATGCTGAGAAATTCCACAGGGAGACTTTGAAATCTGAAGGTATTATTGAAGTAGCTACTTCAATCTAATCTGAAGCCCTTGTACATGGAAAGGTGCCAAGTCTCCCAGCTGCTGTGCATCTCAAGATTCTTAGATTTGTGTGACGATGCTGCATTTCAAGTGACACTATTTGGTAATGGTTAAAGGAGAGGCCACTCTGAAAGCGGGAGAAGGAGAAGAAGGAAAAGTAGCAGGTAGGGAACGGAAGGAGCAGGGGAGTAGTAATGGGAGAGAAAAGATTGATAAAATATTGATCCATATTATCTAAGAAGGGAACCTGTCAGATCAAATCTGCCCCCAAACTGTATCAGACAAAACCTAAAACCAAACTAGATTTTTCCAGGATTTTTTAAAAATGCCAGTGGAAGGCCTTTCTGAACCACAAATAACCCTGTGCAGTATTTGCAAACCAAGGGCCAGATTCCGGATCCTCTTGCTCATGTTAAATAGAACGAGATGTCCCATTGGTGCAGTTTGGCGATGGAGATGACTTTGCCAGCTTTCCACAAGCAGAGAGTTCCACAGGCCATCTCCATCCTCTTAGCCCACTTTGCACTGGTTACATAGTGCACAGGGGACTTATCACACTGGAGCATCTGGCCCATTGACTTCAGAGGGACTATTTGATGGAGCAAGGGACTATTCAAGGTGAGTCAGAGCATCCGAACCCAGCCCACATCATTGTGTTTGTGCAAGAGAACCTGAAAACGAAACTAACTAGAAAGTGATTTCATTGTCCAAACTGAGAGAAATGCAAGAAGGTAGTTAACTTGATGGTGTTAAAACCAGATTAGATTTTTAAAATTCAGTTAGATTATTTAAACTAGGATGATACTTAAAACACAGGTGAAGGAAGGTTGTTGCGTTGGTTTTTTTAAAATGTTTAACTTGACATAACCCCTGTCAAGGCTGAATCCCCCCTCTGTCACCTGAGTGCAGAAGGTGGGGGCCCACAAGGATTCTAAAAATTAATACTTGCCACACCAGGCTTGTATTAAACTCCCAAGGTTACAGCTTTTCTTTGACCTTGGCTTGGTAAATGCTGCCGCCACCCAAATGCAAAAAAACTCCCTTGGACCCAGGAAGGAGCACTTGGGAATTTCCTCCCTGTGAGGTATCCTCAAGCCCTCCCCCAGGGTAAGAGTTGAGAAAGAAAACAAAGGAAATTTAGCTGTTGCTACCAGCTAATCAAACAGCATATGCACAAATCTCTTAGGACAGCGAAAATCCAATCCTGTTCTTAAAAAAGGTAAATTTTATTACAAACAAAAAAAAAGAAAATACATCAGGAACTTAGGCTTTTGCTAGATTTTAAAAGAGAAATTCCAAAAATCAAGCACCCAAAATAGCTTTTTTGGGGGTTCAGCTTAAAGGTTACAAGCAAACAAAAGCATCTGGAGTTAGCACAGAGAAGTCTACAAGCCAATAAGAAATAAAAGAAATAACCCTAATCGCGTCTTTTTAGACATTCCCTAATTTTACTTACATATCTGTGGCTTCAGATAAGTAGGTTGGAGGTATGAATTGATAATCTATAATCATACCTGGCTTAAAGCTGTTTACAGCATTGCTGCTCCGTGTTCCTGCAGCCTGGAGAACAACTGACAAAGGGAAAGTTTCTTTTCCAATTTTAAAAAGTTTTATCTTCCCATTGGCTCTTTTGGTCAGGTGCCCACTCCTTTTCTTTTACCTGTAGGCTAGTTAACTCTTTACAGATAAAGCAAGCAAAGAACAGACACCAAGAGGAATTTTACAGCTAACTGGCTGGCTGGGTGTCCATTAGGGAGCTACCCTCCACACCCTTCAGTTATCACACCTTATGGACACCAAGCCAGCCAGTTATCACAGCCCCTTTAAAAGAAAATAACTTTCAGGAGCAAGGCTGTAATGGCCTCTTTGTGTCACTGGTGATGTCCCAGGCCACTCACACTCTGCTCCTTGCAAAATCTTTTCCCTCATCCTTTATCTGTACAGAGGGGACCTTCCACCTGCACGCCTGCTCCCTCCCATACAGAAGGGGAAGTCGCAGCCACCACTGTAGCAGTGTATCCCCAGATCCTGTGGATGTTCGGGGGACAAGAAGGTGGAAGCTGGATGGGGACAGGAGAAATTTGGGAAGGGCTTTTCTCAGGAAGATTTCCTCCCCCACCAGAGCCCTGGGAAGGGTGATCGGCCAATGGTTTGTAATGTCACTGGTAACAGCAAACAGACATAATAATCTTGTAATTCACAGTTGCCTCCAGATCTCTCTATAAATAGCTTTTATGATTAACTTTTATTTCCCTAGACATTTGTTAATAGAGGTATTTATTTCAGCCCCTATAGGACACGTTGCAATAGGATCTCTCTGCATGGGGAGAGGTCACCTCACCAGCCCGTGGGAACAGCCACTCAGAGTAATAGGAGTGCTTCATATGGCTGCGGAACTGAGTGCATTGATGGGTGGTAACAAGCTAATACTTTATTCACTGTTTGAAAGCTTATGGATCCCCAGCTTGGTGCACACCAATGCATTATTGCACATCATCTTCTGTCCATAACATAGGGAGAGCGTGAGCCACTTTGGAGCATGTTACGTCCACAGGTACTGATGCATTCTGGAAAGAGTCTAGAGAAGAGCTACTAAACTCATGCTGGAGGGGACTCAGGGTACTAGGCTAAAACTCTTAAGGCCCCAATCCTGCAATGAGATCTCTGCAGGCAGACTCCCTGCACCTGTGTGGGTACAGAGAGTCTGATTGTACAGATCACATTGCAAGATCAGGGCCCAAGTCTCTTCTGGTTGGAAAAGAAGAGGCTGTGGCAAGGAGTGGAGCTTACTTCCAAGTATAACTGCCCAAATGGAAGACGCGTTGTGATGGGCGCAATCTATGTGTGGGCTGAAGAACCAAGCAAACAAGGTGAACTGCCCAAGACAGGCCTCACAAAGGCATAGACTATATCTGAATTAAGTAACAACAGGAAAATGCTTGGACGCTCTGAGATGGGTAACTTTGTAAAATACCCTCTAATGACTGTACACCAATGCTGCCTGTGTCACACACCAGTGGTGCCTTGCTGAACCATTCCAAAGGAAGACTAAGCTGACTCACAGCACAGCTCACAGTATTCACTCATTTCACTGCAGCCCCAGGGATGCAGCCCCATCTGCATTTCCAAATCTCAGGACTGAGACAGTGAATTTTTGGGGGGTGGGGGGAAGAGCACATGCCCCGATTTTGCATGTCTGCTTTTATCCTTGCAAACAGAATGCATTGGATGTGGCTTTTCAGCACGACCGGCCATTTCAAGACATGACTTGGGACTGTTGTTCATTTTTCCAAAGTAGTTGGCATTTTATATGTGATCCAGTTCTTGTATTGAAAAGCACGTGGTTTTCTCTCCCCTGCAGAATGGAAATAGGTTTTACTATAGAAGGTGGGCTAGTGTTCTGAAGTGTTCCTTGGGATGCAATCATCATCCTAACACTCGGCTATCCAGGTTTTAAGGAGAACAATGAATAACTGTGGCTGTAAAAATTCTCTCTGTGCTGACACTCAGCAAACCAAGGGGTCCAGTCCAAGGAACGTTTTTGTACAAAATCTGGGGTAGGGGGAACTTGGATGCTTTTTACTTTTAATCAAAGAAGTGCTCAACAAGGAAGCACTTTTTTGTTTTTCTGCGTGGCTTGGGATTTATTGTTTGCTTTGACTTAATAATCGGCAAGAGAGCAGTCTATGGCGCAAGTTCAATGATTTGAAAAAATATTAACATCTAAAAGTCAAGTGCCACTCACAGACAATTTTATGTATTCAGTTTCTACTGCATTGTCTTCTGTGCACTGGAAAGGAATGATTCTCAGGCACATAAGGCACTGTGGACAATGTGGCCCATGAGCATGAACCAGTCGAGTTATTGCAGTGCAGAGAGATTTTATGCTTTTTTAAAGAAAAACTTCCTTGTGTTTCTTAAAGTCGTTCTTTAAAAAAATACATCATGAGGTTGTAAAAGAACCCAACAAAGACTTAAATGTTGGACTGAAGCCCTTGTCTTTTTATAAATTGTTCATATATTTCTAGTGAGTTTTAGTGCACACACAGGATAATCTGTTGTATAGGACAGAGCCATACTTAGAGGTCAGGACAGGTCCTATGCTAACATAGCCCATCTCAACGCTTGATCCAAAGCTTAGTGAAGGTAGAGTGTCTTTCTGTTCTGGATCAGCCTCTGACTGCAACTGAGCATGGGTAGACCATTGTGCTTACGTGGAGTTTCATTGAGTCACTGGGATTCCATGTGGGTGGATGGGGAAGGCTAGTGTATTGCTTCCCTGCAACACCTGCCCTCAGATATTGCATGCTTAACACACTCTGCTCTGTCTTTTTCTGTCACACTGGTGGCAGCAGTCAGCATTAACTCTATATTTTGGGGCTTGGCTTCTAGTCCAGTCTTAGCAAACTATACACTTGAAGCTTGTGCATTTGTATTCCATAGATTCCAAAGAATATGCCCTTTTCATTCAGATGGTCAATTACCAAATGTAAACCTCAGTCATTTACTCTGGTCTTCTGATGTGTGATGGAGGATTCAGTAACACCCTCACCAGAGAGAGAAACCTGGAGATAAGACAGACAGATGGCTGAAGAGGAATACCTGGGACCCCCTCCACTGCTGATTTAAGGCAATCATGGCCTTTCCACGGGACTTCTATGGCTTTGGAGCAGGCAGTTGCTGAACCCAGCAATCCCGTGCAACACTAAATCAGCTTGTATTTGAAAGCCAATGGGAAACAGGGCAACTGAAGCAGCTTTATCAGCAACTATGGAGGGGCTCCAAGATAGTCGTCTTTGAGCCTGCATGCACTGGTGTTTTTGAACTCCTGTTTTCAGAAAGCGCACACATCAGTTGGACTCTCTCATGCTGTTAATATTATCATCAGGGACCTGAACCTCTGTTCCAATAAAAGTGTTGAACTAGAAATGTGAGTGGCGTCTATTGTCGAACAGAAACATTCAAGGCAGGGCAGGTGACATTGGAAGATTCTATATGGACTTGTGAGATTTCACAGCTGTGGAACCTGTCTGAACTTTTCGGGCCAGATTCAGGGAAAGATAACGGGCTGACTAGGTTTTCACCTGGTGTAAGTCAACATTGCTCCGTGACTTCAATGGCACTACACAGATTTACGCTACCTGATGGTCTTGCTCATTGTCTTTTATGTTTTAAACATATTCAGGAAAAAAACAAACCATCATCAACCAAGTGGTTTCTGATTATTTTTAAAGACAGATTTAAAAGATTTTGCAGGACTATGATCATGGAAGCAAGAGACATCGAGCACTAACTAGAACAAAGGAAGTTCTTATGCAAGCTTCCTCTGCATAACAAGTATAGATATCTAGACACTTTGAAATTAAGAATTTATTTTTAATCAGATTCTGAAAACAATTATGGGATGATAGAGTTGTCTATTAGAACAGAACAGTGGGAGGCCAAAGACCTGAGTTCTACTATCAGTGTTCTGTCACTGATTAACTCTGTAGCCTTGGGCAAGTCACGCATCTTTGGCTCAGTTTCCCTATCCATAAAATGGGGATAATTACATTGGTAGATTGTTTGGAGCAAATTGAGTGAAAGGCATTATACACTGTAAGTGCAAGGTATCACTCCTATAGGACTGGATCCAAACTCACTGCAGTCAATGGAATGATTCCCATCAGTTTCAGAGGGTTTTGTATCAGATCCGTGGCCATTTCAGAACACGATTTTTCAACGTTTACAAAGCAACAGACTTGTATGACTATCAAGCAATGTGTGTGTCCATAATCTTGTTTAAATCTGTAAAAACTGAAAATAAGAACCTCCTCCTTCTAGGAGCTGCCCTCACACTGTGTCAATGCATCTGGTAATTCACGTGCTATATTCCTTGGACCGAAGTCCTTCTGAGTAAGGTCAAACCTGCAATTGGTGGGGTCACGCAGAGAGGTTCCCTTGGACACTTGACTCTCATGCATGGAGTATGGATGGATAAGCCCCTATGTTTTCAGTTTGAACAGATTTTTACCAAAAAACCCTGGGTTTTACAAAAGGTATTATTTGTTTTTTTCACCGATTTCACCCTACTTTTGTGTCATTCAAATATATTAAAAAATAACTTGTTCTATTAGGAAAATACAATACATTGCATGATATACATGTATTACAATAATACATTAGTCTGTGTGTATATGCAAAGCTGCCTGTTGAAGTAAGGCGATGTATTAGTCTAGAAGAGACACACAATAAACAGGCACGCTTGCAAGCTCCGAAGTGCATGTGCATCTGAACGTTCTGGTGAATCTCACACCCACCACGTACACATTTCAAGCTGTTAGCAGATAACGGTTTAAAGATTTGACACACTAAAATTGGAAGAAAATGAAAATCTGTCAGAATATATTTCAGAACACAAGGAAGTATTTGAAAGTTTAAAAAAAAAACAGGAGAAAAGGATGAAGTTGTGCTGCAAATGATGTGGCTCAATTATTAAATGTAAATATAGAGGCTAATAGTTCTAAGTCTACCACAGTAAACTGTTTATTCAAATGAAAAGTTTTATTTGGGGCTTAGAGATCTATTGTTTTCTTTAACTCCGAGGTGGCATTGTGCTTTGAGTTCTGTTTTAGTTCTGCAGCAAACCACACTGAATTCCATTCACCAAAGATTTAATCTACTAAATATGTTTTCCCTGTCCTTCCATCCACCACAATAAACCCCGATATTTACCCAGAAAAATTAACAGTTTTATGCACCGATTTTCACCTGTTTTTGTTGTAGTAGTAATAAACACAGATAAATTCCTGAGCAAAATTAAATAAAAACCAAAAACAAACAGCCCTCATTATGGAGTAACAGCTATTTCATGATGAAAAAAGAAAAACACAGTCCAATTAATGTTTTTATTCATTCACACCTTTAAAGGCCTGATCCAAAGCCCATTGAAGTCAATGAGAGTCTTTCCATTGACTTCAGCTGGCTTTGGCTCAGGTCCTAAATGACCATTTCAAATCAAAGTGATGAACATTCGCATACCATTATCCCTTGAGTACCGGAATTAGGCTTTCCAGATAAGCTATATGAAGGGTAGCAGGTGCTGCAGATACACCCAGTGCCTAGTGGTTAAAAGGAGGACATGAGTACTTGGAATGTTAAATAGTTCCTTCTTCCTCTGGCCTGGATCAGGGGAAACCTGCGGGGAAATAATGCCATTATTTGTTTCCTTTTACACTTGTGTGAGTTGCTATATAGTCTTATAGAGAAATACAAAATCAGACGAGTCAGTGCTTAGACCGAAAGCTGTCAGCCATGTGTGTCAATACATACAAAATAACCACCAAGTCCTAAATGAAATTTAGGCCAGTTGGGTAATCAGTAACATTCCTATGACAGGTTTCAGAGTAACAGCCGTGTTAGTGTGTATTCGCAAAAAGAAAAGGAGTACTTGTGGCACCTTAGAGACTAACCAATTTATTGAGCATTATTTAATTTATTTATTTATTTACAATTTATTTGAGCATTTCCTATGACAGCAAATAAAGTGTAAGTGCTCCCAGCTAAAATGAAGGAGATAAAGACCCTGATTCTGTGGCTGTAGGACAAGTTTTTCACTGAGAAGCAGGCAGGGTAGAAGGAAATGATGCAGAAATAGACAAGGTGGAGGAGTTAAGCTGAAGGGAGGGAGATACAAAAATGTGGTTAGTGTTGCTTGACTAAATATTAATTCCAAATGCTGAGATCCTGCTGATGGAACTCAAATGGTGGCTCTTTAAATACACATTTTTACCACCAGATGGCATTGCTCTCCTTCATAAGAAAACTGGTCTACATGTCCAAGAATGACCAAGAAAACTGTAGCAGGATTAGAATGCAGGTGCCCATCCTTTCTAGGGGCATACTCTGCCCTGTGAAGTAAATGAAGGAGGACCTTGGACAGAGATTCAAGCCACATAAGGGGCTTAGACATTCTCAGCTGCTTCAGAGGAAGAATTTTTCTGGGTTTAAAGACAATTTATGTTTAATAGTATGTGTTGGGGGTTACTCTAATATAAATGGTGGCTCAAACCACCATTTATATTAGAGTAACCTCCAACACATACTAGGTACTGTATGTACCTACAGAAAGCCTTCAGGGAGCTTACACAACCTAGAAGGGCAAAAAACAGATGACGGTTGGGGAAAGGAAGACAGTGTCGAGCGTATGGCTTATGTTATCCAGGAGGTCAGACCAGATGATCACAGTGGTCCCTTCGGGCCTTGGAACACATGAATCTGTTAAAGTGTTTAGGGTGGTCACAGACACAGGTCTTGTTAGGTTAATTTAAAAAAATATATAAACTACTGCAATTGTTCCCCCTTTTTTGCCATTATTCATTATTTGGCTTTGTTCTGTTAAATGCTAACTTTTTTTAAAAAAAGTAATTGTTATTTGGTTTTTTATATTTGGATGATTCTCTGTTTCTTTTTTAAATTGTACTGTTGCCTGCTTTCAATAGTTAGTTATCATTTAACTCTCAACCTATTTATTAAACTTTGCCTCCTTTTGGTCTGTTGTCATAACAGGGGAGGAAGGGTGGTCTTGTGGCACTTGATTGGGATTGATTGAAATTCAAATCCTAGCTCATACTGATTTCTAGAGCACTGGATCAGCCCCCATCCCCACCCCAAGCAGAAGGAAAGCAGATCTGATGTTAAATGGGAGTAGGATGTACAATTCTTTCTGGGGTTAACGATCAGAGTTCAGGGCCAGCTAGCTAACTTGGGGCTCATATGTCTATTGCTAGAGTTTAAGGCCAGAAGGGACCAGCTGATCATCTAGTCCCACTGCCTGTATAGCGCAGGCCAAAGATTTTCATCCAGTGACTCCTCTGTTGAGCCCTGTTCTGTCCTGGCACCCATGGCTGTAAGAGCAGAGCCCTCCCAGGCTAATTAGTTTGGCTTGGTGAGGTCACCGCTGGGTCTAAACTTAATAGAATCAATGTAAGCAGCTGAAGTGGTACAGGAAAGAAAAACACTGCACAATTTACAATGAGCACCTCAAACTCATGGGCAGGAGGCCCAGCTGGTGAGATTTCCCTCCTTCGCTTGGGCTGCACGTTTTCTCAGTCTAGAGAAAAACTCTGCAGCTTTCCACTAACGTGTCAAGCTATTGCTAAAAGGCTCTAGCTAGCTTTGCCCCTGGAGAGGAAGGACAGAATGTCATTACTGCTATAGTTCTGGTGCTGATTTCACCTTTGTCATCAAAGAAGACTGGAGCAAACAAGGCTGGACTGAGCCCTCGACCATGCACCTGGTGCTGGCCTGGATATCTCACTTCTTCTTTTCTCTAACTGAAGAGGGCCCTGGGTTTTTTGTTGGTGTTTTTACTCTCTGCAGGGTCACTTCTCCATCATCTGGCTGGCATTACTGATCAACAAGAGTATTCCCCAGTACGTGTGTGTGATGGTGAACTAGCAATCACACTTGAGCTCACATTCCCCACCCTTCCAAGACGTTCATGCTTCTGTTACTGATGCATTTTGGACCTTATCCAAAGCCCACTGAAGTCAATGGAAAGATTCCCATTAGCATCAGCAGGCTTTGGCTAAGGCCCTTTAGTGGGTACAACCCACTGAATGTGGTAGCAGTGCTGAATTAACTGGGCCAAGAAGCAGTTGGAAAAAATCCCCCTGCTGCTAAAGACCAGAACAGCAACCCAGTGGAAAGCAGCACATCATTCTCCATGGCTACATCAACCCAACTAATCCTTTCCCCTCTCCATAGCTAATACTGATGCAACTCTGCTAGTAGTGGTAGTAGTGGGATCCCCAGTGTAAACAGGGAGTTGAGAGTTTCACCATTGTGCCACTTAACCTTGCTCAGATCAGATCTAGGGAATTTGGCGGTAAAAACTCGGGTGGCTACCTGCAACTTGGCTACTCCATTGCTACTTCCAGCAGAGTTGAAGAGGTGGCAGCAAGGATGAGAAATGTTCGGAAGTCTAGTCTGGACAAGGCTGAGGTTGGCTTAGGGTTAGAACATAGCAATTAGCTACAACAGGGCATTAGAAGGCTACAGTGAGGAGGCCTGAGAACTTAAGTGCCTCTGAAAGCTCCCCCTGAACTTGGCTCCAATGCTGATAGGTCATCGTTCCTTCATTTCACATTTTGGTGGGGAGAGTTTTTGGGAGTGCAAATTCTAGGAGTGCAAATCTATTTAGTCACTCGTTTCTTTTCAGTTTCCCTGCTCCAAAGGAAGCCTGAGGAACAGTGCTGGCCTTGCTGGTAAGGGAGACACTAATAGGCAATAACCTGTCTCAGCAGCTGTCAGTAGGATCAGTGGAGCTGGGAAGCATGTGAGTGCAAGATATAAATCCTAAGGATGTGGGATGCACTTGCAGGCCTTTGAGAGGGCATGATTAGTGTCACCATCTGAGCCTTTTACCTTATGGATGACTTCCGGAACCACACATGCCGAACCCATCAGCCTCTGCAGATCAGTCATCTAATCCGGTAATGATTTTTCCAGTTGCCGTTTGGGGTTGTCGGTGATCTGACAAGATTTCATCCAAAAAGCACACATGGAGAAGAACGGTCTCCAGAGGGTCGGGGCTAGCACCTCTTGCAGACTTAGCAGGGATGAGAGTGCAACTCTTCACCACCATCCTAGACAGGGAGGGGAGCAGAAATTCAGCATGTGCCTGGTTGGTGGAGTAAGGAGATGAGGTGAGGACACCAGGATTTAATTTGGCTGCTGTGCTCTGGCATTAACCCTCCATAACAAAGAGGCTGCTGTGCATTTCTTAGCAGATTGGGATATCAGACCTTCCATAAGAGGGTTGTCAAGATGTCCATCCCTAAGCACAGAGAACGGGGTTCCGCTAAAGCAAACACTTTGGTCAGTAGGGAGGAGTGAGTGGGGAGCAAAGATTGTTATTGGTGCTCCAGTGTTTTACTGACAGTTTAATACCCAGTTCTGATTTTGCCAAGCGCTAGGAAGATACCTGCTGTTTGGTTCCAGGTGCCTCCTGCCTCAGATCATCCCTAATCAAATCAGGCTGTGATCCCAGCATTCTAATGCGGCACACCCTCACGTGTGACGGACGCTGTCTCACCAAGAGATGTCGGGGTGTGACAGCCAGTAATTTAACACAGGACAGTCCTCTGAACCTGGTGACTGCAGGTCCATCTCCAGCCCTCTAAGTACATCAGACCGTCCCTAATCCAGAGCCACCATCCGATTCCCGCAGCTGATCCTGCCCCCAGATCAGGGAGAGAGGCTGTGGTCTGACTCCTGACCTTCCCCCCCACAACTGAGAGAGGCCACTCTTTGACTCCGGCCATTGGGATGCAACAGATTCCTGCTGGTTTGAAACCCTCACGTGCAGGGCTTATGGAACACACTGGTGAGTGTGTGTTAGAGATCCCCCTGTGTGCCCAATCCACAGAGGGTAGGTGTCTGTTACAGCCCAAGCTGGGACACTGGAGTAGCTCATGCTTTTAGCTTTGGAGGTCGCCACTCCAATCCCCAGTGTTTCAGTCAAGATGCAGAGAGTTGCACATACCTGAGGCCCACCAGGTTGGTGTTTCCCCTACTCTTTGCCCTCCCCTGCACTGAAGCACTGATAACAAAAGAAGTCCTCATTGTGTCTATTTGTTGTGCAAGGGCCATTTATTCCGCTGTACCTGGGATCCAAACTCTTTCCATTTTATGTCTCTTTCTCCACTGCAGTTAATTTTTTGAAGAATAAACAATTTATGGGGAGGGATTTTATGAAATGGAAACATTTAAGGAGGGTTTGCCAGCCACCCCTTCTTCTCTGAGCCGTCAGCCTTTTATTTTTCCAGCTTGATTAAAAGCATCTTCTTTGCTTCCACTTTGCATTAAAAACCATTAAAACAGCTGTAAGCAATGGTTAAATTTTTTATTTCCCCCTTTTACTCCAAGCCACAAGCAGTTAAAACAACATTTCTTGTAAGGAGTTTTAGGCTATTGCAATCCTCACACAGGAGCAGAACCCTCTTCTACAATATTTTAAACACAAGGTGAATTATGACTAGGTTTCCCATATATCAAGAGAGCTAGGATTTTGCAGCTTCTCAATGCCGTGGAAAGGAGAGCTAGCTGTCTTCATAATCAGTACTGGATGTATTGAAACTACATGGGACTTTCATTTTCCTTTACTATATATAGAGGGCTTGGCTCCTTACTTCCACTCAAACTCTGTTCGGAGCAGGAGTTGGGTAACAGTAAAGGTGACTAAGCCTTCTTTGCACTCTTCATATTCAGGGGATAGCCAGCCCTCAGCATAAGTTAGAGCAACCTCAGGGCTGCTCTAACTTACACACAACTGCATATTGTCACAAGGGGCCAATCTGGCAGCTAAGGATAGCCAGAGCACAACAGTGGTTAGGCCACATACCCCTACCCGAGGGGTCGGGTGAGAGGTAGAAGACTGTCATCATGGCAGCTCTGTGCCAACCTGAGAATCCCTGTATGCCAGTGGAATTTCTTGGTGGACAGATCTGCCCAGTTATAGCACTGGAGTGGCATAAAAGGGCCATAATGCAGTGGACAATTGGGCTTAGAGTGACACTATATCAGAGTTCACTGCAGCCTCCTGCTGACTTCAAGGTGAATTCCTGTCCCTGAAAGTTTTGCTGACATGAGGATGGAGGTTCCATTCCTCTTAAGAGCTGCAGGCAGGAAAACAGCAGAAAGTTAGTTTAGCAGGCGCATATTGTGTTCAGGGAGACGGGCTGAGACCTAAGCACCGTCATTTCTCTCTGGGGAAGCCCCTGTGATCTCTGTATACCTGAGACTCCATGGCTTTTGGGGGGGCGTGTGCCTGGGTGGGGAAGAGGCGGGGCTGGGGGAGACCTGTTCTGTGCAACATCATCCCCAGGCAAAGTTGCATAAAATATGCTACGAAAATGGCACAGAATTCTGATTGTGTCAGCAGTAACTTGTGCTGATCTCCATGGGAAAGAAGTTGTAGGCGGCCTGGAGCAGCTCTGAGCTGTTCCCAAAGTCTTTAGGGTCCCTGCTGTGCATGGGGAAGGGAGTGCGATTACCTTCAGTGATTTGTCTGCACTGATACTTGCCCCAGCAGCCTTTCCTTACCAACAAACACTAGGCCTGGAGCTCCAGGCTTCGGCTCTTCTCCATGGCCCCCTGTGGGATTTGTACCCACTCCTATTTCCTTCCTCTAGGAACCAGCTAATCCAACTCCCTGTGTTGGGAATTCAAGCAAGGTGGCACTCCTGGCTCTGCTGTGGGCTTCCCACCCATCTCCCCTTCCTATCCCTCCACTGTAAAATGGAGGTAATGAGTCTGACCTTCTTTGTAAAGTGCTTTGAGATCTACCGCTGAAAAGCCCTCTATGCCAGCTAGATATTATTATTATTGCTGTTGGGAAGGGTTGCTTCCCAGTTAAGCACAGTGCGGTGTCAGCCGCCATCATTAATAGCAGCAGCAGCTCTGAGTGGATTTGAAGCCCAGGGACAGTT